ATGCAACTGCAGGTATTTTCACTCTGAAAAATAAATAAAATGCGAGTAATAAGATAAAGTTATTATCGAACTGTACACCCACAAATTTATGTACAAATGTATGTATGTACGTAGCTCTTAGCTAAAAAACAATTCAACTTAATTGATGTAAGCTTGGTAAAGAGATTTGGAATTTATCCTTTAATTACATACATACAATTGTACGCGCGCTATACAAAAAATTATATATTTACATACCTTTGAATATTCGGAAAAAGGCTTCACCTCTTATCCGCTTGAAAATCACGTCCATCACTCACGAATTTTTTTCACAACTGACGCTCGGGGGATCAGAGAAGTCGGTAGCCGGGTAGTAGTCGGGCCGAGTAGGCCCTTCGTCCCACTTCGTTTTTCTTGTCGTTAACATTCGGCAGCCGAAGGAAGTCAATGGCTACTTTCCTATATTCTAGGGTCATTTCATTCATATATTCAAAGGTGATTTTGTCCTTAAATACGTACAAAAATGTTTTGGCTGCGACGGCAAAACAAACATATGAGATTTTCATTTTTCTATTTTTAAGAAAAATTCTTTCTTGAATTTTTTCCATCAAGAAAGGTTTTCTGTATTCAAAGGACAATTTTCTAATAACAAGAAATTTTTTTTCTATTTTCAAAGGTAGGCCGTTTCAATGGCGAGATTTCCAAAATTTAGAAATTAATTTTTATGAGTGTACCTGCAATAGAAAGAAGACTTTCGGGAAAGTTTCATCGCGATAGCTTTAAAACTGAGAGACTAGTTCGCATAGAAACGGACAGACGGACAGACGGACAGACGGACAGACGGACAGACGGACATGGCTAGATAGACTCGGCTATTGGTGCTGATCAAGAATATATATACTTTATGTGGTCGGAAACGTCTCCTTCACTGCGTTGCAAACATCTGACTGAAATTATAATACCCTCTACAAGGGTATAAAAATCCTTATATAGTTGCAGTCTACTAATAATTACCTAATTTTGAATTTTGATTTCATAATTTTAAATAAAACGGTATTCGAAAAACCTTAAACCTCTAGAAAAAGTGGGCGCTTTTTTTAGTAAATTAAAATATATTCCCATTCACTGTTAACTGATACTTTAATATGTTATAGTTAGGCATCACTGTTTTGAGCCAATACCATATAGTATAGCCAACCAGGTCACCGTTTCCAACTTTTTCCGTGTATCAACAAGGACACTTTTTTGCCAGGTAGGAAACATTTGCTGACTGGCCAGATGCGATGCGAGTAATGCTAGTTCATCTGGCACCTGGCACAAAAGTATCTGCGTATCTGTATCCGTGGAGCAGTCAACCATCTCCATTTTCATTCCCATTTTCATCGCCATAGCCAACGCCAACGCCACTTTTCGCAGTCAGTCAGTGGGTCGAACATTGAGCTTAGTCAGCGTTTTGCACACACAAAATATTTCATAATTTAATTGCAAGTTGGGCGCAAGATAACAGAATTTTGTCCAACACAAAGCCGGCAGCAAATTCATTTTCATGTTCATTTCTCCTCGCGCTTTTCTTCCTCGGAAAAGTGCAGTAAAATCATGAAAAAAAGAAGAGGATTGCATAAGGCACAGAATACACGCAAGCCGAAAAAAAAACAGAAAAAAACATATTGCTGAGCTAGCATTTCAGTTGGTTTTGTTTTGTTGTTCGATGGGCGGACTGTGAAATAGAGGCGTGGCCGGCGTGGAAAATGCAATCCGATGACGAAAGTCCATTTCATTGCACCACAATTTGCACCGCAAGAAGTGCAAAAAGTGATGAGGATGATGGTGATGATGATGAGGCGTGAATCGAAATTGATTGAGAGATTAGTTGCCCAACTAACCAGAAGCGAAGAGGAGATGTGAGGGAAAATCATCGTCTTGACTGGGCTCGAAATCGAATTTTCCTCGGCCATGCATTAATTTCCGTAACCATATCAACTTTCTGCTCTCTTCCACTCGGCCGAAGTTTGTAATTTGCTGCCAATTAGTTTTGACTTCAAATCCAATTTCAGCTTTTATATCCTCTGGTGAATTTCTGGTCATTTCGCGACATTTCAACCGCAGTCCCTGGTAATTAGAGCCGCCTGACATTTCACAATCATTTATTCCCTGCTCTCCGTTAAATGTTGATAATTTTGCATTTTGCATATTTCGAGTATGCGGTTCATTTGTATTCCGCTCTGACTTTATTGGCCCATCAGTTTGATCGACCAGAAATGTGAGTAATCCCGTGTTGACTGCTCAGACAACTTGGCAGTTGCTTCTGCATAAAAAATGGTGAATAAATATTCACAGAGCTTTATTACCCTTTTTTTTGGGGTGTTAACTTTGGTACATAAGCTCCAGAGCAACTCGTAAATTATAACTTTTATTGAATTGGAATGGAATTGAATTTAATGGCTCTAAATTCATTAAATTTTGTTTTGCATAACCATAAAGATGTTATATTTAATACGGCCAAATTATCGCTAATACCCTGACAGTTATAGTTGAGATTATTTCGAAAGCCGACATTGCTTGACAACCGTCTTAATCCAGATTATCTTGCCGTTTTTTGTTAGACTTAAGACAATATTTTGAATGGTTTTATTTAATGTATTAACTTGTTTGATGAGTATTTATTTTTATTTTTAAAAATAAGAGAATAATTGAGAATTTTGTTTGAAAACTTAAAAATATTTGGAATGTATTAATAAGGAATCACTCTACATCTAAAATTTTGAAAATATTTAGTTATGACCAAAAAATGCTAAAATTATTATGGAACTTCCTACACAAAATATTAAAAGGTCACCAACTCCACCTTACAATTATAAATCGCACCTTATTTCAATTTATTTTTGTATGGGTGGCTGCTTCTTCCGGCTGTTTTAAATTCTTTTGCTGAAATTGTGCAACTCATGGCAACAAACATTCGCCTCAGTTGCACTGGAATTCCTGCAAATTAAGGCAAAATATTTTGGACCACACTTTATGGGAGATGGGAGAACGTAAAGCGATCGCCGGGGAGTTCGGTGAACTTGTCGAAGTCAGAAAAATTCCTCATTCATCTCGAACTGCAGAGATACTCTAGATGAAATAATATTTGCATTTTAATAAGTTTGATTGTGTAACGCGGTTGGCTTTGGTTTGGGAGAACTGTTAAAGGTTTGGTCATCATCACTCACAATAAAAGGTTTTTTTGTTCTCCGCTGCAGCGACGCGTATCTGTGAGATACATTTGCATAAATAACGGAGTTCTTTGAACCCCAATTAATTTCCCGTGGAGATGCAGGGCTAGAAATTAAACAGAAACACTCTATCTGAGATCAGGAACATGGGTCTAAAACTGGAAAGTTGAATGGGTAGTAAAATTTAATAGCTGTTGCCCTCGTTCTGATCACAGTTTCGAAGCTTCCCAACTAGAAATGGAAATCAAAATAGATTTAGATTTCAGATGTTAGAGGGGGACATAGAATAACCGGTCTGGGCGAGATTATTTAATATTTGCTGACAGCCGGGTTCGCTTTTAACACATGTTAGCTGACATAAATCGACTTTGGCTCGGAGCATCCATAATTCCAAATTCCGGACAAAATGCTGGCCAGAAGTGTTGGCCAAAATGCCGCATATTAATAACAGATCTTATCTCCCGAGTGACTGATTAATGTGAGCAATTACCTGCTCAAGTACAAGTCTGCTATTCAGTCTTCTGAGTTGGCAGAATTAATTACTGCTGATAAATTATTCACAGCACCAACATCATGCATCACCCTTAATTCGTCCTTGTGGTTTTTTCGGAGGACTTTTTCGGCTCACCACCCACTGAGCAGAGTAAAACCCTCCCCAAAATATGCAAATATGACTACGCGTTTATCTTAAAGATGCGAATTAACAGCGCGCGGCTAATTAATATCAATTAAAATTTATTGGCACGCTAACTAAGCCGCAATCTATGTAGTCCCGCCTCAAAAACGGAACTGGAAACAAACTTGAATTCGCTGTTCCTGTCATCTCAAAACTGATTGGGGTACATTGGCTCGAGACAAACTGGGGGGTTTCAGCCATATATATGAAACTTGATACATCATAAGACATAAAGGCCACACGCGGTTGGCAAAGTGAATTTACATGTGAATAGGTGATTGAACGGGTTGGTTAGTCTACGTTTTTATAAAATAATATTTCTTACTTATTTTATATGTTTAAAAAAAGTCTTGTATATTTCATATATTTTATTTTAAATAAATTGGACAGACTAAATGGTGTAATTTTTAATTTTGGGTTTCAACTTGTCTACATTTTTATAGAGTAATCAATAAATTAAATAAGTTAAATTTTTAATTTCTAAGAAATCTCTATTTAAAATCAAACATTTTCCCCATTGAGTAAGAAAAACCCAATGACAAAGTAACAAAGTCAGACCTTCTCGAATAGTTTCAACTGCTTCAGTGACGTAAAGTAGCTATTTGAAATTTAATATTTTCCTCGCTCCACTTTCGCCTGTAACGAATTGTAGCTCATTTTCCAGTGACAATATTTTAGAGGCAATAAGGGCAACATGTATGAATTGCAAATTGCTGCTGGCAAAGGAAATACCGACACTTAAAGAGCATTTCTCTGTGCCAGTGGAGTGTCATCGAATGTTTTTTGGACCCGTTTTATTATTGTAGTCGGCAGCAGTAAAGTAAACGCCATAAAACAATCCGCTCGATGGCAGGTCAAATTAAAAAACGCTCATTAAAATAAATTGCCAAATGCCCGAAACGCAAGCAACAGCTGCCCCTTGATATAAAAATATTCTGTGTTCTGTATTGTAGCTACATAGCTCTCGGTAGCGATATTAATCAATATAAAAGTCGATTTCGATTTCGAGTTCAGTGAGCTTAGAGGTTTTTCCTTACACATGGCTGGAGATTTAAGGCCACTGTATATTTTTGTAACAATTTTTAGGGCATCTTAAACTTACAGTTTTCTCTCTTTCCCTATTTTGCAGATTTTAAAATGGCTGCCGACTGGCGATTGATGTTTCTGCTGGGAGTCATGCTCCTCGTGGGTTTACCTGTGAATGGGGAGGTTTACACCGCCCTAGCTGAGATGGAGGAACTTCTTGAGACTGAATCCGTATTGATTACCAATCTGGAGGGCTACATACGCGTGCAGGAGAACAAGCTGAACTTCCTTAAAAAGTGAGTGTTCCCTTGCCGAATTTACTGCAATTAATTGGACTTTAAATATAAGCCACAAAATTAATTGGGAAACCTTGCATTAAATGGGTTGAAAGCAACACAGTTTACCCTTTTTAATAAACTTTGTTTGGCCACCATGTTTATGAAATCCCACATTCTAAAACTTAATTAAATTTGCAAATGATAATGTGCAATTATTTACCATGCTCATATAATTGACCTATTGAGAGCGGTAAATATAATTTTTCATTTGGCAATAACTAAAGAGCAAATACAATTAGTAATTAGTTGCTTTGTTTACCAATAGGCAATAAAAAAAAACATTCCCTTTCCATTTAATTATCTCTAATGAATTTAGCCTTTCGATTTCCAACTTATTGTGGCAGCTTTGCTTGAACAGTAACTTTAATAAATGTTATTTAATAATTTCAAGCAAAAGTTGTAATAATGGTGAAGTAATTAAATTTACTTAATTTCATGGTTTTTTTTTGCTGCCCTTTTGTAATTTAATATTTCCAAAGCAGCAGGAGTAATTATGCAGAAAAAGTAAAAGAGGTTTTCCACCACATTTTTGTAATGGTACTTGAAGAAAATAATATATTTTCAGGAGTGCTAAGTGAATATTAACCCTATTTAACAAAAATTAAATGTGCAAGGTCACTTGGAATTTATAATGATTTTTTTTTTTGGTTTTTATAAAAAATAAATGTATAGAAAAAGTAACAATCTCTTACAATAAAATTCAGATTTTTATATGCCTTGAATTAAATTCTTTTGTACAGATTTTAACCTCTTTTCTTTAAATAATGTGGCTTTAATATATTAAAAGCTACAGTAATTTTCTAGTTTATTTAAAGGCTTGAACCTATTTATACTGCGTCTTATGTAGACCTTACAAGACCTAGCTATAAAACCCAAGCTCCAAGTAGACCCCTATGCTACTTAACATAACTTCATCTTATGCAAATGGTGCCAAGATGTTTCTAAGTTCTAAATGGGGGACCTGAATACGAGGTTCAGGTAGTCGGCTGCATTCTGGTAATTACTTTTGCCACGTGCGAGGGGCAGCTGTTGCACGCACCTAGTTTTACCTTCTAGTACATACAGATGAGGCGCCCTTTGCACACATGACTGCAGATACATATCTTTTGCTTACATACGAAGGGGATCTATCTATGTATATAAGGAGTGACAGCGGAAATAATATGGGGGAGAGAGAGCAGGGAGTGCAGGATGCGGTGAGGCAACTCCCCTAATCAAATAATGCCAGTCGCACTCAGAACTCAGGATCTATCTTCTGGTTCTGTTTCTGTTCTGTTCCTGTTTCTGCATTTGTACCTTGGCTTTGTCACAACAAAGGACGAGGCAGGATCCTCACCGGCAGCAAGCAGCAAACAGCTGACAGCTGTTATCCTTGTGCGCTGTCATTGCCCCCTGCCTTTGAGTATCTGTATCTGCATCGGAGTATCTGTATCCGAGTATCTTCGTTTCTGAGTATCTCAGTATCCTTTGGATGCAGCCTCCCGTGTCGCGTGCCGTCTGCCGGCGCTCAAAATTTAATGCCTCTTAAATTCTCCCACTGGGCAGCTGTTGCGGTGCCTCCGAGTTTCAGAGTTTCTGACTAATCCGCTTGACAATTTGCCCTGTGGCTGCGCTGATTTGCTTTTGGCCAAAAGGCAATTAAATTGGCCACCACGAAAGGACAACGCAGCACGCAGCCTGCCAAAAATAAGCGCAGCTCAAAGGCATGTTTGCATATGTGTGTGGGAGGTGAGATCCGGGTAAAGTTGGCCTCTGTTTTCCACTGGCAACTGAAAATGTAACGGTCGCTTGGGCATAACAAAAATCAGGGGAGGGGCTGCCTTCAGGGAAGGTTTTTTCGGTCTGCACAAACATCAGAACTGAACAAGTATTAATTTTAGGGAATATAAGAATACAGAAATACCTCCTAATTTAATGAAAATATTTTTGATTTATTTAAAAGCTGTTATTAAAATTTTAAAAACTTAATTTGATTATTCAAAAAATAATTTTAATACGAATTTATTGTTTTTCCTATTAGATATATTAATTTTATATTTTGTTATTTAATATTTGTTATCTTAAAATATATTTTATTTTAATATTTTTTTAAATTTTCTACATTTTTTAATTTTTTTACTTTTTTTGTTCTACGCTGCCAAAATGGAGTAGAAATAGTCAAACTAGAAATGTGAATGGAAGCTCTAGTTTATGACTCGACACATTAATGGCAGAAATATGTACATATTAAACTAAACTGTTCTCTGAAAACATGCATTTAAAGTTTATATTGTCATTCAAAGCTGACGACTGAAACAAGAACTTGATATGGTCTAAAAAATAATAAAGTTTTTAAAGCATTTCGAAGAAGAGAAAGGAAAACAAATAAATAATAGAGAAGCAACTAGTTCTTATGATAGAATTCCAAACAGAGCAGATTCATATTAGGTAAATGGTGTCATATTTTTGGAGGTGACAATGTGCTGATATGATCTTGGGTAGATTTAAAACCCATACATCATACCCTTTAAGTTTCCCTTATAAATGGTATCAAAACTGAATTAAAGCCGCGAGGGAGCGCATATGAGTTGGTAAATAAGAATTAAAAACGCTGATAAAAGCCGGCTGCTCCTGCAATTCGCCAGGGGTTTTTAGTTGAAATGTCTCAGTTGGAAGTTTCAACCCCCATTTCTCTGTTCAGGAGCAGATGTTTTCGGTTTCTGGCCTAATGGAACGCGCCAAACACAGTCGGTCATTGTACGGGTGTCTTATGTCCAAGTAAATGGTGGTGTTTTTTTTTATAAGGAGAGAGAGAGTGGGGGACTTAGAGCACGATCCACTCGACTGCGCGCCGGCGCAGGAAGTGGAGGAAGTTGAGGAGCTGCCGACTGGAACCAGACTCTAGATCAGTCGAGTCGCAGTTGTCGAAGTAAACGGATCGTGGAAAAATAAAAGTGCTAGGAACTAGAAACCCAGAAGAGAACCCAAAAACAGAACACCCCTTAAAGGTTGTACAGTGCTATCATTATGTCGCAGCATAATTATACCAACCCGGCCTTCTGCCAAAACAGCGAGTTCTATCCAGTGTCTAGTGGTAATGGCTCATCGCGCAATGCAGTGGAGTCCATCTATAATAGGAGTCTCCAGATGAACTTTGGAGCAGCTGCGCCGCGTACTCCATCTCGAGATCCCCGCGAGGGTCCACTGCGAATGCAGCGTAGCATGTCCACGCGATCGGTGACGCGGAAACAACACCAGCAGCAGCAATATCAGCAGCAGCAACACCAGCAGCAGCAACACCAGCAGCAGCAACACCAGCAGCAGCAACATCAGCAGCAGCAACATCAGGCTAAACAGCCATCTTCCAGTGGTCGCTATGCCTTGGTTCCCCTAGAGGAACTAAACAGCAGCAGGGCCAGTAGATATGCCATAGTCCCAGGACAGGCAGCCCAGAGATTGGCCAGATCGCAGGATAACCTGGACCGCTATAGCTCCAGGAATGGATTGCACGAGGAGGAGGAGCCGCACTCCTTCCACGAGGAACCGCATCAGGAAACGCAGTTTGCCAGTCTGCCACCCAGCATAAATTATCCAACAAAGCAGAGGAATCTAAATAACAATCCCCAAAATCAAACCCAGATAAAGCATGCTTTTAGCAGCGACTTTGGCAGCAAGACCTTCTTGATAGTGGACAAGAACAGCAATCAGCGGTACCAGATGGTCCCCACTGCCGAGGATGAGGAGTTGGTGGATGAGAACCAGGAGATCATACAGATGCACAATGGCCGGGCACATCGTTATGCAGTGGTGCCCACAAATGGGGATGATGATGAGGAGGATGAGGATCTGCAGCAGGATCAGCAGGAAACCTGCCTTAGTAACATGGAACTGAGTCAGCAGCAGTATGCGGCAAGGACCTCGACTCCGCAGCAAAGAAATGCGGCGGCTGCCACGAGGGCGCTTCATGAACTGCTGACCACGCCCAGGAAAATGCAACCGCCCCCGAGATTGGCCCACTCAACGCCCCGAAATGCCGCCCATCAGGAGCAGCTGCAGATGGAGCGACGGCTGGAGATCTACAAGAGCCAGCAGATCTACCAAAGTCACCAGCAGGCGGTGGGATTGGGTGTTCCACCTAGTTTACCCCTGAGGCAAACTCGACTCTCCCCACAGAGACTTCACTATGAGACGGTGAAGCCGCTGCCCATGCAGATGGCAGACCGCTCCATGGCGGTGATCAGTCCCAGGGTCCAGGAGCAGGAGCAGGAGAGGGAGCAGGACATGAGCAGCATCCAGGGAAAGGGAAAGAACAACAACTCGTATCCCCAGAAAATGGCCAATGCCACCATCACTCTGGCCGTCGTCTCCCTGATGCTCGTCTTGGGCAGCACCATGAATGCGGGACTCATCATCTACATGATTGCCCACGTAAGTAGTTCAAAGCACTCTTGGGATCTTGAGAAACCAGGAAAATTATCGTTACTTCAGAATTTGTTTAAAATTTAACAGGAAATATTTTGTGGTAAAATAATTAATACTTAATGGAATATTTTTGGTTCCAAGAATAAAGTTATATCTATTAATTTTTCAAATTTTTAGCATTGGTTTAAATATTTTAAAATACAAAGATCTCGCAATTAAAACCCTTAATCGTTAATATTCTCGTAGTTTATTATTTATTAAATTCTTATTAAATCATTATTTAACAATTTCTTTAAAATTTAACGTTTAAAGTAAAAAGATTTAACATTTAAACTTAAAATTTGTTGAAAAATATGCACATGTTTTTTCACAATATTACAAATCGATTTTATTACTTGGATTCGTTATGTTTCTTTTTTAACCTTGTTTACTATGTATTTTTTACCTGCACATTATGATACGATAATTTTCGAGAGTTAAAAACGCTTTATATTACAAATTTATTTTTTAAAAACATTTCAATAACTTTTTCCTTCTTTTCCCGGCAGCTTGGCAAATCCTTTTACCTGCAGTTTGGCCTGGTTGCCTCCTTTTCCGGAATGGGATTGGGCTTCCTGGGATTCAAGTCGCGTCACTGTGAGTGGCTGCCTAACAGGAGTTATAGTTCCGGATACATCCTGGTCACCATATTCTGCCTCTTCAAGTCCTGTGGATTGCTGGTGATTCTGGTGGTGGATCCTTTTCCCGGGTTCCCTGTACACGATGTGACGACTGGCGTTATCCTGGGACTGTCCACCTTCACCATGTTCTTCATCGCATTGGGAGTTCTGGGAAGTCTGTGGTGCCACCGACCTCCGCCGGATAACCGCGTCAATGTGGTGTAATCCTTAACCCCTATCAAGGGGAATTAGTTAATAACCCTAGCTTAGTTTCTAACATAGTTGTACACCATCCACTTCGACTGCAAGAACTTGACACACCGAACGGCTAAAAGACCAAAAACAAAGTATTAGATTTATAACCAGAGGAAGATCATCATCCCCCGAAAACGACTGTATATAACAAGTGGGTTGTACTTACTGCTAGACTTTTATTTTACTTTAACTTATTGTTCACTTTTGTGTAGTTTAAATATGCTTCACTTTAAGAATACAATAAAAGCACTGGAATACCAATAAAAAAGTAGTTTTATTTATAAATAGAGGTAATAAAAAATTAATGAAAATTGAGAGTAGTCAAATTCAGCAAAAATCTATTATATTCGCTGATTAAGCACGCCTGTTTCCGTTGCTCAGCAATTTTAAATTATTAAGACCACTAGCTAAGCAAACCCATTAAAAGCCAATGCATTTTTAAGTGAAAAAGTAGGTAAACCTTTTGTTTTGCATTTGCTTATTGATAAACAAGAAAGTTGCGCCATTTACTTTGAGCTGTAGCTTATTTTAGCCTTAGGTCTTGAGCTCTCTTCCTTCTGGCCAAGTTCAAACTTTGGCTTTTGCTTTCCTTGCCGCCAGTTGTAATGCAATTTGCCTGCTCGCGAAAAGCACTTAGTGAACTGTCTGCCAAGTTTCACCCCATATTTTTTCCCTCTTTAAAAATTCTAGTAAAATGGACGAGTATCAGCGGGAACATGCAGATGCCTCCAGCGATATTACAGGCTATGTATCCAACCCGATAAATGCCTATTTGCTGACCAAGCGGCTGACCACCGACTGGCGGCAGGTGGAGAACCTCATGGAGCACGACGTAGGCACGGACTTCGTTCAGAACATCACCCAGTATCGAAGTGTCCTCAAGTTCCCCTCCGACGAGGATCTCAATGGGGCGGCGGTGGCCTTGCTCCGCCTGCAGGACACCTACCAACTGGACACATCGAGTGTGGCGAGGGGCAAACTGAATGGCATTCAGTACAGGTAAGCTTCGATTTTCGTTTTCAAGGAAAATAAACTACTTTGAAATTGGGAAAACCAAGCTGGTACATAAACACTGACCACATTTATTATCCCCTTAGCACGGAAATGTCCTCGGACGACTGTTTCGAGCTGGGCAGACAGTCGTATGTGAACCACGACTACTACCACACGGTTCTCTGGATGAACGAGGCGATGGCCAGGATGCTGGAGGAACCCACCAACCACACGCAGAGCTTCACCAAGGCCGACATCCTCGAGTACCTGGCCTTCTCCACCTACAAGGAGGGTGAGTCCAAGTCCAAGTCCAGTTTAGGGCTCCTTTTTATCTCTGTTCCCTAAGTGCCAGGATGCACTGGCAAAAAATTGGGGGCTTTAAAATTCCCCTGAAGAGTCTCGGAAATTCCCCAGACATTACAGACTACTTTTTTAAATTTGTTAATAAGAGAATATAAATGAATATGAATGCAATATAATTTTTTTTATTATCATAACTGAAATATTATTCAAATAATTTTTTTGTTCTTTAAAAAATTGCAAAATTCTAAATATTTTAAAGATTGGAGGAGGTTAAACATTTCCTATATTATTTAATTTAATTATCCTCAAATTAATGTAATTCCTTAAGAATACTTTGAAAAAAAACGTAGTATTTCAAGAAAATTGTTAGAACAGAAAATGCAAAAAAGTAAATGTTTCCAATTTAAATATTAGAACAACGCAGTTATCAATTTTACAGAATTCACCAAATCTGCAAATTAGAATTTTTAAAGCTTTCAAGTTTCAGCTTTTCAACCTACTAAAATTGGGTAATTAAATTCTCAGAGTGTGTTTGCCGTCCCAATTCGTTGTTGTCATTGCTCGTTTGCATGGCACTTTCGAGGTCCATTTGGCTGCAGGAAATTGCACTCTGTCCCCGAACCACTTGCTGTTGTCCTGTCCCCTACCTCCACTTTTCACAGTTTCCACACAGTTTTCCTACTTTTCACCTGGAGTCGCTCTTGGGTTGCTCTTTTGCCCATTAAGTGCGAAAAAGTGTTGGCCATCTGCAGCCGGTGCGACAATGTTGCGGGTGAAAAGGAGGAGCTATCACGTAGAGTTGGATCCAGGATCGGCACGTCCTTCTGCCAGGGAGCTGTGTGCTTTATTAACGTCTTATTACCCCGGTTAGCGCACCCTATCCGTTCATCAAAGAGCCGGCACACGTATCTGTGTCTTTAGTGGGTGCTTGTTGGTTCTAGATGGTCCTACACAGATAGAAATTAATGTACAATATTTTTGGTATATCTTATGAAACCGAAAACAGCATAAATATAACGTATTTTAATAGGACTTGTAAAGGTTCACTTTCATTACTTTTTAATTTATTGTCCAAATTTCTTCTACAATTCGATAGGTGTTAATAAACACAACAAAATGGCATTTTAACTTTTACAAAATCTGTAAATATGTAGGCACCAGGCTTTTTTACTCTACGAGTACGGGGTATAATGGTATGAAAATAGTAATTATGCTTGATATTCAGATTTTTTTTCCCTGTACAAAGTCTGGCTCAACACACAAGTTATGGGCGTTGCCGGTGGGCGGGGCGGAAGTGCCGCCATATTGTGTTGAGGAACGACACGAGAAAACAACGCAAATGGGTCCGCCCTCGAGGCAAGTGACAGGCTTTCTGTCACCCGACCACTCGGATCCCGATCCCCATACCCATCCTCCCCTTTTCCGTTCCTCTTGGTTTCACTGGGTTCCTCTTGCTGGTGGAACACATGTGTCGGGAGATGCAAATTTAAGTTCCTGTCGCCGACAGGGTTTCAAAAGTTGAGGTCGTGCTGGAGGTCGGGGTTTAAAGGAGAGGTTAAAGCCGTACTCTTTGGGAACCACTATGTAAGACAGGCAGAACTTATTAGTAGGACCTGGACGCAAATGAATAAATAAGTGCGCAGCTTTGGTAACTTTGGAAACAATCCAATCGACTTGATGGCCCCGGCAGTTTAAGTTTCAGTTTCTTTTTCAGTCTCAGGCGTAGGAAGTTCGAGGTCAGGCGGTAAAACTTTCTTAGAAACTGTGGCATACTTTCGGGCCGAGAATGAATGGTTTACTTGGTGGGGCAGCGGCATCCCTATCGCACTTAAGACCCCTTTTTAGACCCTGATGAATTAATTGTGCGGCTCGGTCAAGTGCGAAACGAGACTCTTGACTTTAAATAAGTATTTCACTAACCTGCTGCTTATTTATTTATGTTATTATGGGCCCCTTGATGGTCAACTCACTTTGATGTTTCTTAGTTAAAAGCTGTGTTCGTTTTTGTATCACTATGGACGGCAGTCCATGTAGTGACGAAGCGCACCAGGAGAGTGTGCGAAGGCGACTACTATTATATAGCCGCAAAATTGAAAATCTGCTGTGATAGTTCGATCGTAATGAGTAATACACCAATCGAAAGGTATTGCAAAAACTTAAGGGATTGCATACCAAGACCTCAAGAAAAAAAATTGGCTTGGGAGAGAGAGCGGTGAAAGTGAAAAAGTGAAAATTTCGAAATTTGGAGCTGTTGGGGCCGGTGGGGATAAATGCCCCCTCGAAATGTTTTAGTTGTATTCCTTTTGAAAATACCCGTCGAATGAGGGGTCATTTGTCAAAATCCGACTCTCCGTTCAAAAGTTATAGCCAAAATATGATTTTCTTCTTCTTCCCAAAATGAAAATTTAATTCTGTTTGTCAGTTTGTCCACTTGTCCGCTTGTCCACTTGTCCACTTGTCCAAAATATGTTTTTTAAGTTCTGAAAATTTGATATGACGTTCATCACATCGATATAAGAAACTTTTGTTCTACCACTTTTGGAAAAACCCGCTAGTTTAGCGGGAAAACAGCTATAAATAGCTAAAATTCGGAAAGCCGTAACTTCTATACTACTAAAGCTACAGACTGCATCTCGTTTGAAAGGTATTTTTAAATGCTATAAACGCCTTCTATATGCAATTTGTGTAAATGTAATAGTTAAAAAGATATGAACAAAAGAAAATTTGTTAAACTTTTTTTTTAGCTTTTTTTTAATTTTCTCAAAAACGGCTCTAACGATTTTAATTACAACTTTAAACTGTATAGCCCTTGAGATTCCTTAAATTTTGGTATATATCATGTTTATGTTAAAAATCGCGTTTAAAAGTTATTCAGAAACGAAAATAGCCACTTTTGCCAGCTCAGAACAACTAACGCTCCCTGAGTATTGAATTTTGTGGGAGGGTATCCGAACTGTATTTTAGGGTCATGGAATCAGTAAATTTGCACTTAAGAGTTCCATATAGGAATCTTTTGTTCTACGACTTTTGGAAAAAGCCGCTACTTTAGCGGGAAAAAGCTAAAAATAGCTAAATTTCGTTAGTTTGTAAGTTCTACACTACAAAAGGTACAGACATGTGCTATACCTCGTTTAAAAGGTATTTTGAAATACTTCTACGCCTTTTTATCTTAATTCGTTAAAATACAATAGTTTAAAAATTATGATTGACCAATTTAAATTTAAATGTTTATATTAGCATCTATGAGAGCAAAAGTAAGCAAACAAAAACTTCTGATATCAAATAAAAACACCTCTTAACGAGGTAAAAAACTAGTGACGATCGCACCTTTAACGTACAAAAGTTCTGATATCAACATTTGTGACGAAAAATTATTACACTCGTCATTAAATAGACTTTCTAATCTTTTCTCATTCGTCACGCTGCAATAGAAAATGCCTGTAATGGGAAAAAGGCTGGAATAGTTTGCTAGGGCGGGCCGAATGAGAAAAGATTAGAAAGTCTATTTAATGACGAGTGTAATAATTTTTCGTCACAAATGTTGATATCAGAACTTTTGTACGTTAAAGGTGCGATCGTCACTAGTTTTTTACCTCGTTAAGAGGTGTTTTTATTTGATTAAAGTAAAGCGACCGTTCTGTAATGAGTTTTGTGTGAAAATATTTAGGTTTAAGGATGGCTTCGTTTTTTTACTTTGTTTAATTGATTGATTTTTGTAAATCAGAGGAGCACTATTTTATTAGTTTGTTAGTTGTTCAAATCAGTAGCAATTATATATTTCAACCGATTTTTAGCCAAGTGACTGTAATAAAACTCTAAGAAAATTACTTTCAACAATTTTAAAAAATTTTTTAAATTCTGCAAAGATTATTTAAATAGCAGATTGTAAGGTTAAAAAGTAAGATCCTTTTAAAGGCTAGAATTTGCTAGATTTAATTCGGAAGACTCTCTAATCGAGGTGCCAAATATTAGATTAAAAGTAGACTTCTTAATAAATCCCAATATTTCTAAACTTTTTTTTTAGGCAACATAGAGAGCGCCTTGACCATGACTAATGAGCTGCTCCAACTGCTGCCGCATCACGAGAGGGCCAATGGAAACAAGCGGTTCTACGAGAAGGAGATTGCCAGCCAGCTGCAGTTGAAGAAGATGAAGGGCGACGATGGCACCGACGAGATGCCCAAGTCTGATTTGGTAAGATATATATTTGAAAAAGAAAAAAATAGCTTACAAATAATCCCTATTTGTTAGCCCGTGGCCAAAAGTGATCCGGCCATTTTCGATTTGACCGAGCGCAGGGCCTACGAAATGTTGTGCCGGGGCGAACTGAAGCCCTCGCCCACGGATCTCAGGCCCCTGCGATGTCGTTATGTAACGAATAATGTGCCCTTCCTGCGATTGGGCCCCTTGAAACTGGAGGAGGCCCATATGGAGCCCTATATTGTGATCTATCACGATGCCATGTATGATAGTGAAATTGATATTATCAAGCGGATGGCTCGTCCTCGATTCCGCCGGGCTACTGTTCAGAATTCGGTGACTGGAGCCCTGGAGACGGCGAACTACAGGATCAGCAAGTCCGCTTGGCTGAAAACCCACGAGGATCAGGTGATTGAGACCGTGGTTCAGCGTACCGCCGATATGACCGGTTTGGATATGGATTCCGCGGAGGAACTGCAGGTGGTTAACTACGGCATCGGTGGACATTACGAGCCGCACTTTGACTTTGCCAGGGTGAGTATTTTCCCTAGTAAAAATAGGGAATTAATAAACTATTTTTAACCAGCTAAAACGGATATATTATTTCTAGAAAGAGGAACAGCGCGCCTTTGAGGGTCTTAATCTGGGCAACCGCATTGCCACCGTTTTATTCTACGTAAGTTTGTTTTTCATTTTGCCCACCCCTTTCCTTTCTTTTTTTTTACAAAATATTCACATACACACGCCGTTTTTCCTCGTTTTTCCCCGCACTCAACTGATAAAATAAAATTCTCTGAATTTTTGCTTTATTTGCATCATTAGTAAGGCTTATTTATAAATAGAGTTGCGTAGGTTGCAATGCGAGTGAATGGAATTCCATGGCTGTGAATGCAAAAGCAACGCACAATGGCAGAAAAATAGATACGAAAGGCAAGGCAGCCTTGCAAATGTGGTTTTCTCTTTTCTATGGAATATATATATGTTTTTTTCACCAAGCTATTGTTGGTCAATGGTCAATAGAGGGCTTGCAAATTGCACAACTCGCTTATTAAAATGACACAATTAATTAAATGGCTTAAGAAGATTTAATTATTTAAATTATATATTTTTTTAAAAGATTATCTTAATAGTAAACAAATGGTATATTCCATTTAATTTTTTTCTTATAATAAAAAACCAAAATTATAAAGCTATAAAATTCGTTATAAAGTTCTTTTTTAAAATATCTTTTTTCCCCTTTTCAGATGAGTGATGTGGAGCAGGGGGGCGCCACAGTTTTTACATCCCTCCACACAGCATTATTTCCCAGGAAGGGTACGGCAGCCTTTTGGATGAATCTTCATCGAGATGGAGAAGGCGATGTAAGGACTCGGCATGCCGCCTGTCCCGTACTTACAGGCACCAAATGGGGTGGGTTCGCTATCCTTGATTAAATATTCTATCAAATAATATATAATGTATTTTTTAATTTTTTTAAAAAACCCAGTGTCTAACAAGTGGATCCACGAACGCGGCCAGGAGTTCCGCAGACCCTGCTCCCTGGACGAGGATCACGGCGAGTTCGCCATTTAAGCCGGAGTCTAGTTAGCGAATGCAACGAATCTTAAGTGCGGAATCTCATCCTTCGCCATTTTGGCCACCGACTTCCTATTGTACATACCGCATTCAGCCGAAAGTTTTACTTAGCGGTTCCACCTTGGGGAGCCAACTTCTACCTAGCTATCTAGATCCTAGACTCGTACGGAATTTATCTACTTTTGTATATTTGCCTAGTTTAAGTAGTAGAAAAAATTGGAATAAAATCGAAATGGAAAGCAAACAAATAATATGTTTAATAAATATATTTTTCGGTGGATAAACCCCTGCACAAAATCAATAAATTACACTTTCTAGCTTAAATTATTTTATTCTACACTTAATAAAAATGCTTTTAGCATCGATACATTTCAAGTACCTACTTACAAATTTAAAATTGCGATAAAGTGGAGGGGAAAATGTACATTTTAAAGCACACTCTGATCTGGGTTTGATGTTCGATTAGTGGGTGGCGATTCATCAGCCGGAGGACTCATCCATCAAGTGCGGTAAGTGGAGCTCCGATACGAGGGTGTGTTTGCATTGGCAAGGGTGAGAGGATACAGGATACAAATCGGCTTATCCTGACAGCATCTGCCGCATTGCGTTGCATACTTTGCGGCTCCCCGGGAAAACTCAACTCAATCGAATTTCGCCTGAAATGCGAAAAGTGCAAGCGAGGAGAAAAATGGCCAGCATTATTGCATTGGACAGAATCATAGAGCAGGTCTAAGAAAAATTCACTTATAACAAAGAATTTATAGGAAGATGGGAGAATATTGTTTTTATTACTTAAGTATACAAAGGATCATAATAAAATATTGAGAAGGAAAGGTAAGGAAAAAACATATATCTTGAACATAATAAATATATAATACATAAAATAAAGGTGAGAAAAAATTATATATCTTTAAATTGATAAATATATAATACATCAAATATAACTGCGTTTAATAGTAAAAACTTTCCAAAGTAACGCTAATTGACAGGCGAAAATATTGAATGAAAACTGTTATCAGTTCCAGATGTCAAACGACTGTACTGATTTGCGATAATCAATTTCTAATTTATGATAGCTCTTAACCGATTATTTAAGTACATCACTATAATATCAATGCTCTTGTTTACGCTTCTTAAACCAAATTGATTAGGGATTTAATAGTCATGTTTGATACACACCAGGTGCAAGTTTACAAACTTTTCTTATCTGATTTATTATTTATGGAATTGAACTTTTTAAACTGATTTTTGCAAAATTGAAATAACAGTAGAGCACTGATATTGAAGAGCTAATGAATTTTATGCAGACGAGTTATTACAAACGTGATAACAACTAAGTAGCTGTCATAAATTCCCCAAAGACTCACTTCCTCCGCACTTATCAGCAAAAACTGACCACAATAAACGGCCCTCCATCCTCACAGGTTTTAGTTATTAGAACCTGATAGGGCTTCAGTTTTAGTATAAAAGGCGGTCAGTCTCTGGGAAAACCACAAGTTGTACACCGACCAGTCCAAGATGAAACTGTTCGTATTCCTGGCTCTGGCCGTGGCCACCGCCACCGCCTCAGTGATTCCTGCCACGGAGCAGGAGAAGCTCATTCCCGTTCCCGTGAAGGACGCCAAGATCCAGGGCAGGATCACCAACGGCTACCCCGCCTACGAGGGCAAGGTGCCCTACATCGTGGGCCTGCTCTTCAGCGGCAACGGCAACTGGTGGTGCGGAGGCTCCATCATCGGCAACACCTGGGTCCTGACCGCCGCCCACTGCACCAACGGCGCCAGCGGAGTGACCATCAACTACGGAGCCAGCATCCGCAACCAGCCGCAGTACACCCACTGGGTGGGCAGTGGCGACATCATCCAGCACCACCACTACAACAGCGGCAACCTGCACAACGACATTTCTTTGATCCGCACTCCTCATGTGGACTTCTGGAGCCTGGTCAACAGGGTGGAGCTGCCCAGCTACAACGATCGCTACCAGGACTACGCCGGCTGGTGGGCCGTGGCCTCCGGATGGGGAGGCACCTATGACGGAAGCCCACTCCCCGACTGGCTCCAGGCCGTCGACGTGCAGATCATGTCGCAGAGCGACTGCAGCCGCACCTGGTCCCTCCACGACAACATGATCTGCATCAACACCGACGGGGGAAGGTCCACCTGCGGAGGCGACTCCGGCGGCCCCCTGGTCACCCACGAGGGCAACCGCCTGGTCGGAGTGACCTCCTTCGTCTCGGGAGCCGGCTGCCAGGCCGGACACCCCGCCGTCTTCAGCCGCGTCACCGGATACCTCGACTGGATCCGCGACAACACCGGCATCTCCTACTAAGAGCCCCACCTTTCTCCTCCTTTATGGGGGTTTCCTAAATAAAAGTTTAAACATAAATGTAATAATAGAGTTTTGCATCTGAAAAGGGAATATAGGACCAAGAAAGGATTCAGCTAAACTGATAAAGTAGGGCTGATATCATATAAAGTTACCATAAAATAAAACTGTAACCATCAGCATTAAATGGTGAATAATAATATTTTTTATTGATTTTATCGATTGTTCGTAGTCTATATTTCATTGTCCCATTGACAAATAAAATTAGCTTCGTCGCTACACATATAAACAAACATTTCTGCGTTTTCTATTTGAATGCAGTTCTCGTCTTTGCTATTGGTCGGTTGATACGCTTGCCAATTTAAGAAGGGAGCTGGTCTTCCAGAAGCCACTGAAATAAGCCAATAATATTGGTTTGGGAGTTTCGCCTTTATGGCGTTGAGTTCCTGATCGTCTCGGATGGCAGCCATATATTTTAGTAGTAGTGTCTAAAAAGCGGATTGACTCATTGTATTGCGTGACAACCGATGCTCTTTCGATGTATTACGTTACAAATAAAAAAAAATGCAAAACGTTTTTTACACTTACAACAACTGTTGACACCATACAACAAATTTATAGTGCCCCGTTCTAACGTTACCGTAAGTTACTGTACGTTCCCGAAAAACCAAGGTCGATGAGGATTAAAATAGGTCCCTGCTTAGGGAAGTAACAAGAAATTCTTATAAAACGCTGATCTTACCTGTGGCCTATCGATTATATTCGGTTGGCCTGAAGTGGCCTGCACTTGCAGATTAGAGCCGTAAAGAAAGATCTGTAACTTAAACCCTACAAGGGTGCAAAGCTAGCACTTGTAATCCTTAGGTTCAGGCCACTTGAGCCCGACCATACTTTTATAAGAATTTCATGTTAGCTACGTAAGCAAAGACTTCGGGAAATAACATCAGTTTGTATACAGAACTCAACAGTGAAGGTTGTTTTCCTTATACGAAGAGCGCTCGTTGTGAAACACTCGAAATGTTTAAGTCTGCCAGTTATATTCTGTGCTGCTGTGCTGTCTTCGCTTTGCAAGGATCTTGGGCAGCATCCCCGGAAAAAGGACAATCCGTGTGTCTACTGAGTGATCCACCCAACCAATGTGGCCAATTCTGCCTGAGAACACTGGGCCCGATGCAATCCAAGTTGGCCTCCATCGAAGGCAAGCAGGATGTCATGCAGACCAAACTCCTGGCGGTTCAATCCAGGCTGGAAGCACAGAGGACATCCCTAATGTCCAAGCTGGAAGACCAGACGACGTCCTTAAAGAGCGAACTGGATGGCCAACTTAAAGGACAGAACACAGAAATCCAAAGCAAGCTGGACAGCCAACTTCAGGCAGTACAATCTGCAATTAAGGAAGAGAAAACAGAAATCCAAAGCAAGATGGATGGCCAACTTCAAACGGTAAACTCCACGCTGGAAGCCCAGGGATCCAAACTGAATCACCAACTTCAGGCATTGCAATCCGCATTGGAAGCACAGCAGGTAGCAGAACAAAGCAGGCTGGACAGTCAACTTCTGGCGTTGCAATCCGAAATGAAGGCACTCCACACTAACATTGTGAATAGTATACTTCTGGCGGTTCAGGAAAAGCTGGACGAGCATAAGGCTGATCTGCAGGAATCCTTAAAGAAAATGATCACCAGAGAGGACTTCGAGGCTAGAGTGAACGAAACAGAAGGCAAAATTGGGGCTGTTCAGGCCAATCTGCCGGCATTACAGACCGCAATTGAACACCAACTGAATGCGCTTCAAAATCAATCAGGAAGTCAACAAAAGACTCTTCTGGAAAACCTTTCCAAAATGAATTCAAAGATCGCACCACCAAAGTTCGAGCTTATAGGATCTAGATACTTTTATATTGAACAGAATCTTAAGCAAAATTGGTCAACGGCTGCAGCATCTTGTCGTCAAATGGGAGGATATCTCGCTGCCTTCCGAGACGAGCAGGAATGGAGTGCCGTTACACTGAAACTTCGAAATGATTGGTATTGGATTGGCATCAACGATATAGACAACGAGGACGAGTTCGTATCAGTAGCTTCTGGCAGACCAGCACCCTTTTTTTTATGGAATAGTGGCGAACCGGACCATTTACTCAATCAGGACTGCGTTGGGATAAAGAATACAGAAATGTATGATTCTCCGTGTCGCGATGAAGAGTTGTTTATTTGCCAATGGGACAATGAAATATAGACAGTACACAAAACAAGTGAATTCCTAGTAAGCAATATTAAATAAAACATAATTTAGAATTTGAGATTTTTGGAGTTTTATTCTTTTATGGTAACTTTATATGATATCATCAAGCTCAACAATGTTAGAACTCAGCCAGATATTCCCGCTTCAGATACAAAACCCTGTTATTACATTTATGTTTAAACTTTTATTTAGGCTCTTAGTAAGAGATGCCGGTGTTGTCGCGGATCCAGTCGAGGTATCCGGTGACGCGGCTGAAGACGGCGGGGTGTCCGGCCTGGCAGCCGGCTCCCGAGACGAAGGAGGTCACTCCGACCAGGCGGTTGCCCTCGTGGGTGACCAGGGGGCCGCCGGAGTCGCCTCCGCAGGTGGACCTTCCCCCGTCGGTGTTGATGCAGATCATGTTGTCGTGGAGGGACCAGGTGCGGCTGCAGTCGCTCTGCGACATGATCTGCACGTCGACGGCCTGGAGCCAGTCGGGGAGTGGGCTTCCGTCATAGGTGCCTCCCCATCCGGAGGCCACGGCCCACCAGCCGGCGTAGTCCTGGTAGCGATCGTTGTAGCTGGGCAGCTCCACCCTGTTGACCAGGCTCCAGAAGTCCACATGAGGAGTGCGGATCAAAGAAATGTCGTTGTGCAGGTTGCCGCTGTTGTAGTGGTGGTGCTGGATGATGTCGCCACTGCCCACCCAGTGGGTGTACTGCGGCTGGTTGCGGATGCTGGCTCCGTAGTTGATGGTCACTCCGCTGGCGCCGTTGGTGCAGTGGGCGGCGGTCAGGACCCAGGTGTTGCCGATGATGGAGCCTCCGCACCACCAGTTGCCGTTGCCGCTGAAGAGCAGGCCCACGATGTAGGGCACCTTGCCCTCGTAGGCGGGGTAGCCGTTGGTGATCCTGCCCTGGATCTTGGCGTCCTTCACGGGAACGGGAATGAGCTTCTCCTGCTCCGTGGCAGGAATCACGGAGGCGGTGGCTGCGGCCACGGCCAGAGCCAGGAATACGAACAGTTTCATCTTGGACTGGTCGTTGTGGAACTTGTGGCTCCTCCAGAAAGTCACCGCCCTTTTATACCTACGACTTATCATTTCATAGATTTCTTGTCGCGTGTCACGGAAACTGAGCGCCCATATATTTGGCCAACTTTCTGTTACGATAAGTTAAGCTGGTTGATAAGAATTAAATTATTGTCAGTACTTGATGTTTGCACACACCATAGAAATTCGAAATAACCTAAACCGGTTATGAATGGGAATAAATTATGATTTACTTGTTATATTGTTAAGTCTATTAAATTAATAACAAATCGGCTAGATAATTAACTTTTAATAAATTTAAATGATAATTAATTCTTTTTAACAATTATATATTCATCTATCATGCATCTAAACCACAGCCTTATCGGTTCTAAAAACTACTTTTGGATGTCTGTAAAAATCAATGGTTGTATATTATGGACTAAATTTTAGAATGACAAGATTTGTCGGCAGATAACGCAGGTACAAGATTGTATGAAAGTGTCAAGTTTGTAATAATTTTACTATCAGCAAAAATGGGGCTTTAAATTTCTTTTTATTTTTCACATTTCAAGGCCAAATAACTTTCAGCCACAAAAGAGCTTTAATAAAATGACTAGTGAATTTTTTAGTAGACCTGTCTTTAAATAAATATATCATAGTCATGAAATAATCATACACTAAACATGTTGAGTGGTAAAACATGTATAGGTCGAGTTTAAGAAATAAATATTTAAATATAAATATAAAATATAATAAAATATAATATAATATAAATATAAAATTTCAGAATAAAAATATATCCCTTTTGAATGTTAAAAAAATTTAGTATTGAAACATTCTCTCATTTTAACATTAATTATTGAAGAGCTATAAAAATTCTAAGGAAAGAGAGGGAGAGATTTGTAGATACTTAGAACGAGTTGTTTGTTTAGCATCGCTTGTTTGGGAGTTTGCGCCTGACATCTTTGTTTGCACAGCGTTTTTGTCTGGATACGTGACACTTTCCAAATGGAAAAATATATCGTTCTATTTGGCCCACTCCATTTGGGAACTTGGATATCTCTGGTCGCGGCAGTCTCTATAAGTCGGTCTTGGTTCTCAGTTCTGTGTTCACAATGTCGCTTCGAAATGGCCTGTTTTTCGGTATATTCCTCTATACAATTTTAAGTGTAGCCGTGAAAGGAGAGTTTTACTCATCGGTGGATAGTATGCAGGATTTATCCCAAGTGGAACAGGAGCTCCTAAATGCCACGCGTTCGTACTTGGAGACCCAGCAAAACCAGCTCAACTTTTATCGCAGGTAAACCTTATAATACCAAAGTATTTAGTCCAGAGAGTAATTCCAATATTTAATAGATATGTGGAGCAGATAAAACGGGAACATGAGTGGGCCATGGGACAATTAAAACTGGATGACTATCTGGGTCATCCTTTACACGCATTTAGATTGATCAAGCGATTGGTTCAGGATTGGGATGCGCTGGTCTTTGAATCCATACTGGAAAACAAACCCAGAGAAGGTGGGTATTATAGTTCTTTAAAGAAAACCCCTTAATAAGATCTTTTTTCCCAGATTTCCGTGAATTTGTGGAGGTTTTGGGCAGGGATTTGGGCTATCCCGATCAAACGGAGCTTCAGGGAGCCATCAAAGGCTTAGCCCGTCTACAGAAAGTCTATAATCTCACGACCTCCGATTTGGCCGATGGTGTTATAAATGGTATCGGCTATGACTCTGAGTTGCATTGGCGTGAGTGTTATGAAATAGGCGTACAACTCTTTGATCTCGGGGATTACGAGAGATCCCTCGAGTGGCTACAGGTGGCGTTCGTCCTTCTGCGAAATAGTCCCCTAGAGGAGAAGGATGAGAATAAGTACTTGTCTGATATCAGGGAATATGCAGCCATGGCCAACTTTGAGTTGGGTAATCCCAAGAGAGGCGCAAGACTTTTGAATCAGATCCTCGAGCCGGAACCCAAACATTCCGCGGAGCAAACTCGGAAATATCTGGAGAGCAGGGAGCCAGGAAAGAATATTCAAGAGAAGAATCCCTCTTGGTTTTCTAATTATACAAGACTTTGCCAGGGAAGAAGATTACCTGAGGAATCGAGTGGAAATCCCCTGAAATGCTATCTAGATGGAAAGCGCCACGCCTACTTTATCTTGGCTCCCCTGCAAGTGGAACCCGTTCACTTGGATCCCGAGATAAACATCTATCACGGAATGCTGAGCTCCCAACAGATCCTATCCGTCTTTATAGAGGCAGACAAGGAGGAGATGGTTCGATCCGCCGTCGCAGGAGAAGGTGGAAAGCGCACTGTGCGGGATCTGCGGGTCAGTCAGCAAACTTGGCTGGATTACAAGGCCCCGGTAATGAAGTACATAAGCCATGTTATCCAGTTCGTATCCGGATTCGATATAGCCGGGGCGGAATTCATGCAGGTGGCCAACTATGGAGTTGGTGGCCAGTACGAACCGCATCCGGATTACTTTGAGGTCAATCTGCCCACGCAATTCAAGGGAGATCGCATCTCCACCAGCATGTTTTATGTGGGTTTCACATCTTTATCATAAATCTTTTAAATATTTCTAAAAATATTCCCTTTTTCTTAGCTCTCTGATGTAGAACAAGGTGGTTATACGGTATTTACCAAGCTGAATGTCTTCCTGCCTCCTGTGAAAGGAGCCTTGGTTATGTGGCACAATCTTCATCGATCTCTGGATGTGGATGTGCGCACTCTGCACGCCGGCTGCCCAGTTATCGTGGGTTCCAAAAGGAGTAAGTCAGGTGAACTCATCCATTTATATATCCTAAATTTGTTTATCCCAAAACAGTTGGAAACATCTGGATGCACTCGGGCTACCAGGAATTCCGGCGACCCTGCAACCTTACCTCAGATAGCTACAAATCCGTTGCCTATCGGGATTGAGTGTAATTCGTACTTTTAATAAATTAATATCTTACTTTAATGAGTGGTTTTCTTATTTGTTACACAAAATCAATACGAAATCAGTCAAAGTCCCTGTAATGCAATGAGATTTCCTGGTTCCTTTGTAGCTCGCAGGGTCTTACTTTATCCTGATGGCGTTCTCGAACCCAAACGTTGGCAACTGGGGATTAGGAATCGTTTTATAGGGCTATTTTTCAGCAATGGGCTATACCTACTCCACTTGCTGCCCTGAAGAACGGGACAGGCGGCGTGTTTGGTGCGATAGTCCTGGTCTCCCGAAGGATGAAGATTGTACCAGAAGAGCAGGCTGCCCATTTCGGGGGTCACGAGCAGGGGCAAAAAGGGGAAGGCGGTTCCACCTCCAGCTTCAACATCTGAGAGCTGCAAAAAATTTACCAATTTAAAGTAGTAACTTTTTACAAATTTCGATTTTTTGTTTTGGGTTTTTAAGTCAAAGCGTTTTTAAGATACAATTTTTTTTATAGATTTAGAAACTCACGTAATATATGCCCGTGGCGATGCGGTTGCCAAGAAAATCCTCCTCCTGGTAAACGTGATTTTCGGGAAAGCTGTCCCAATGGGGCTCGTAATGCCCACCGATTCCATAGTTTGCCACCTGCAGATCCTCCGCATAGTCCATGTCCAGACCCGAGAAGTCAGCCATATGTTGGCTTAAAAGTTTAGTCACCGCATTCCTGGAATAATTGAAGGAGGCACCTTGACTGGTGCGAAAGGCGGCTGCAGTGGATTCTCCACTTCCTCCTAGGGAATACACAGTGGATCTTTTTATCCTGGGACGGGCTGTTCTCTGTAGGAATTCCGAGTCCTGAGAGCTAACCACCTGGTGCAGCTGTACTACTAAAGGATCCAAGCTAAGCTCCTCCAATTTGAAAGGAGCATATCCTAAGTGACTTTTTCTCAGGCGACACCTGAGATTTCGCTGCTTGGAAGGAGGTGGAGTTAATTCCCCACGGCAAACCTGCTCGTACATCCGAAATTCCCGGGATTCATGGTAGTCCCCCGGTCTTCTAGCTGTCATGTGGAGCAGCCCGTTCTTATCCCCATCCGTTATTAACTCCTCCAGATGCTGGCGAGCCTCCAGCAGGTGACTCCTCTCATCCGGTTCAATGGACAGCACATGGTTCACCAGACTCAAGGCACTCTCGTGGGCACCCATCTCCCGATGGTATTCCACCACCGCCTCCATGAAGTCCAGGGAGGAGGATTCCGAGCCGTAGGACTGTTCGCCGAGCAACTGCATCGACTGCTGCAGCCAGGGAACCGTGTGGTTGTAGTCCCTCAGAGCGTACAGATGCTGACCGAGCACAAAGCAATCCTGCCAGGACATGGCCGAACTGAAAGGGAATACATATTTATCAAAATTATAGCTTCGGAATTGCACATTCAAAAATTAGGTTTGATTAATCAGATTAAAAATGTTACTAGCTTTAATGATAACATATATTTTCAGTAAAATTGAATATGAGAAACTGAAGCTGATGAATAGTATTACTTAATTGACTTAGAATGTTAAAATGATACTGATGCATAGGGAATTTAATATATTAAAATGTGAATTCTTTCAAAATTATTAAAAGAAAAATGTAAAATAAATAGTTAAACATTAACTAACCTAGAATATCAAATATATTATTAAGTTTAGTTTATTGAGTAGGGTACTTATAATATGTATCAAAACCATAATTTTCACAACAATTATATGAACCAAACAAGCACTATAAACTTTTTAGGTCACTTCCTTTCCCACTTTTGGAGGTTTCATTTCGCAGTCTCAAATTCACATCATGAAATGGGTACCCGGAATAGGAAAATATAATTGCTGCTTTGTTAAGATGCGACACCAAGTTAAACTGCTCATAAAGTTTAAGACTTTGTTGAGTAGGCAATTAATAAGCAATGTGCTGGCAATCAAGTACAAATACTTATTTAGTTATAATATGTTTTTAGTCACCCATATTTAACGCCATTTAGAATTCCACTGGCCAACTCGGCCACATCCAATTGATAGGTCTGCTGAAGCCGAGTGAGAGCAATTGCTGAACCCACAAAATCGTCCGCCGAAGGAAAGCTTAGATTCGCCCTATATCTGGCCATCATCTCGAGGTAGTCTATAATGTTAAAGATTGAGTTATTTCTTATATACACTACATTTTTATTCTAAACCTACTTGAACGACTCGAATCCGCCGAAACACTGCCCTCGAAGGTCTCCCAGTCGCTGTGAAGGCGTTTAATTAGCCGGAACGCGTTCACCGGATTGTTGAGGTAGTCATCGATTCCATCGGCGGCATTCAGGTGCTCCACGCGGATGGCATCGATCTCGCTGAGATCATAAACAAAGTAACCATTAATCAGACTCATAACTAAGGGAATTTGCATAAATTAAGTTAGTTTCGAATGGACAAACTAAAACTAAAAATTCTCTGGCTAATATACACTGGTAAAATGGAACTCGAGCTGGAAAATAAAATTAATTGCTTATTTTAAGCAGACAAATTGAAACTGATATTATAGGCAACACTATAATTTAACGGGGGGAGGTACAGAAATATTTATTCTAATTAATGAGATCAAGGAACCAGATTAAAGAAACATCTACACTGATAAAAATAAATAGATGTTCTTGTTTAAATATCTAACCACATATTTTTAAGGTTTCTACATATTTAAAGCTAAAAATCTTTAAGAAAAAAATCCTTAGTAGTAACATTAGTATAAATTAGAACTTTTTCACAGTGTTAATGGCTATAAACACCTGCTGATTGCAACCATTTTTCAGAATTAACGTACAAAAAATTGCTTAAAAATACACAGCAATATTCAGTTATTTATAAGAATAGAGGGTTATCGCTGGGTTAGCTGTTTTGTATAATTAACGCATTTATTTTCACGCCTGTCGCCTGCATTGCGGCTCATTTAGAAGTCATTAAGTTGGGAGCGTAACCATAATCCCAATCTAGTTCTCAGTTCTTTTGTTCGCGACTTTATGGAACTGATGATTAAGTGGCAGCACTTGTTCCCAATAAATATATTTTATTTCTGCTCAAAAAGGGGACGCCATCCACAATGAGTAGCCCGAAATAATACAATTGTTTCTTACACGATTCGAAAATGAGAGAAAAAGACCAGTTTTCTGACTCAGGTAGGTATAAATATTATACTTTACAATTTGTTAACGGTTTCTTATTAGATAGCCAGGAATCCGGTTTGCGAAATGCGCATGATAAACAAAATAATACTGTATATTATGCATATCTGAGGCGATGATTGCACCATATTTCAAGACTCGCAAATATGCCAAGTCGATGACACTTATTTCGGGACAACAAAATAAACCAAATAGGCGGCAACTGTTTCTTAGATCCGCCGGGAAAGATCGAACGATCGATCGATATCTCGGGAATGGTAGCGATATGGCAATCGATTTTGTCGCCAAGATAATTAAATGCAAGGTTCCGAAAGTTGTGTGCTTTATATGAGCCATTAATTAGTATAATAACCGGCGCAAATAAATCAAGCCAAGAAATAGGAGAAATTAGCAGCACATAAAATAAATAGCGCCCAGTGCAGCCAAAACAAATGGCATCGGTTAGGGAATTAACAAATCGCTGGGTTGCCATTCACTTTTATGGCAACCGGTCATCAGGTTGTTCCATCGCAAAATCTGCATAATTGTAATAAAACCAAGTGAAGCTAACTAGAATTTAATATCTCGGTGTGCCATCTCTCCCACATCCGAATCGCTAATTAGCCAAAAACAAACTGAAATCTGCCCACCGAGTTCGAGATATTAATTTTCAATTCAATGCACGTGGGCGGTCATCCACGCATGTGAAATGAAAAATTCATACTCGGATGCCCGCTGACATCTGTCAATTGTTTTTCACATTATTGAATCAGAAATATTTTCTGACAATTCTGTAAACTATCATTGGCTTGTGCGAGAGATGAGCAGCTCATTTGCATCTGATTAAAACCGACCATCTGGATGGATGGCAAAATGAGTATTGATAAGTAGGCTCGGCTAGAACCTGAAAAACTTTCCATTTTAATCTGGCTTCCTAATGCCTTCTCACTGGTGGAAGAATGGTCTTTGAATTCCTTTTAATGGAGTTCATTCCACTGTCATCAAATTTACATATTTATTTAATTGGAATTTTATTATCAACTTTTGAATTCTACTCATATTTTATGCACAATAAGTGTTTGTTTATGTTGTCATCGTAAAAGGTGTCAAAATAACTTTTGCTCAGGATACTTTTTTAATTTATTAATAAAAATTGTTATTAATATACTGGGTTTGGAATCTTGTTTGTATAAAGTTGTTAGGAATTTTTAAGTCTTTGCGAATTAAAATTAAAAAAAAAATTATTCAAAAAGTTGTAGTAAACAAAGGTTTTTTTTAGGGTTTCCTTAAAATTGTAAAAAAAAATTCAATAAAATAGGTAATTTATTTACTATACATTTTTTAAATTTCCTTATTAAAAAGTCTTAAATTTCTATAATTTGTACCTCTGCAACGCCTCAGCTTGTTGATTAATTTCATTTACATAATTCTGCAGTTCTGCCAGGAGGACAACCTCCGTTTCGAATAACTTTTCGAGACCCGAGGTGGAACTGAAGAACTCGCCGTGACAGGATAATACCTGCAGCACCAAAAAAAGGACACCCGTGGCCGAAATCATATCACTTAACCGATAAAATGACACCGGCTCTCGAATTGCGGATCGCGGTTTATTTTGCTTGCTACTCGAGCCGCGATTCGTTGGAAACTGTTTTCAGTCGGCGGCAAAAGCGACGATCTTCCAAAGATCTGATGAGAAAAAGCTCGGGGCGTTTGTGATGAAGCGTTTTTTTTCGAGCTGCGGGTGCGGATCGAGCAGTTCCAGCTTTCGAATCGAATGGAACGGAATCTCTTGGAATCTGTGGTCAAAGAACTGCCCGCGGGGGCCGAAAGTTCTGCTTCAATGGAGCCCATAAAGTCTATAAAGTAAAGTGGGTACTTGGCCAGGTTCAATAAACTGAATCGTGCTTGTACATTTACATAGCTTCGAAGTTCTGGCAGTTATACTAGGAATCCAGGAATCATAACGCAACCTTTAAGAATTTCAGAGCGAATTTCCCTTGGTAATTACTTTCACTTTGCTGCTCGCAGCAGTTGTCACTTCACAGGCCCCGCAAAATATTCACAAAATATTCAAATCTCCCAACGAAACTTTGCCCGTGAACTTGTTTATGCAAATGAAGCCGGCAAATGAATACGCAACTGGCTTTTGTTTTTTGTCTCATCTCAAAAGCCAGCTCGCCTCGTTTGTTTTGAGTGAGTTTCAAAAAGCACTCAAAGCCCCTTAACCCACTGAGCAAAATAAGACACGCTGCGGTTAACTTGACTATCACAATTTATTTTATTTTATTTTATTTCATTTATTTGATTATCTCGTACTCCAGCGAAACCTCGTGATCCCGGAAAACGTCGCAGGGTCGAGCAAAGGTCTGCGTCACCTCGTGTATCCAAACGTTGCCAACTGCAAAGATCAGGCCGAAAGTAATTACATTAATTGCGGCAGGTCAACTCGATGGCAACTCCGCTTGGCTGCTGGCTTAATTCACGCATATTTAATTCAATTTACAACCATTTTCGTACCTGCTGAGTTTTAAGCAGCTCGGTAAGGCTAGAGTTTTTAATGGAATCTAATTTAAGAATTTATTTAAAATGGCAGATAATATATATCAGATACTTTTATATAAAACTCAAAAAAATATTAAAAACATTTAAAATAAATACTTTGATTAAATAAATGTTTAGTGACTTATTACTAGACATCGGATTTTAGGTAAAAACATATTTTGAACGAGCAGTCCAAAGTTTTTTTGGATTGCATACAAATTTGTTTCATGTAACGTAGATCATTTTGAAGGCGGCATATTTTTGCAAATTTGACCTTTTTACATATCTTCCACCTAAAAGCATATTTCGGAATATGTCAACCTTTTTTGACCTTTTTGACCTTTTTTTGCTTTGAATATATGCCTTTAAGTAGGCGAACTGAAATTGATACTGTTAAAGTCAAAATAATTTCATAGTCGTGTGCCTTGTGATTGAGAATTTAAACGAAAAATGCCGAATCCCAATAGAAAGGATAATCGCCTGAAATGGTTGGAGGAATTTCCAACGGAAAAGCTGGTACTATTGGAAGAAAAAATATATTGCGAAACATGTAAAAAAAATGTAAGTGTTTGTATTTAGTTCTCTTTACTTGTTTGCTTTTATATAAATGTTTTCCACTCCCGAAGATTACTGTAGTGAAGAAATCACAATTACAACAACACATTCAAACCATTTTACATATTCATAATAAGAAGAAAACTGAAAAACTTGACAACCACGAAGGGGAAGACAATTTTCAGTTTGAACTGTGCCAAGCAATGGTAGCCGCTAACATACCATTTAATGCACTTAGCAACACAACATTTAACAACTTTTTAGAAAAATACACTAAAGAAAACATTCCGAGCGAAAGCACAATAAGAAAAAATTATTTGGACAGGTGTTACCAACATAAAATGGATGAAATCAAAGAGCACATAGGAAGCAATAAAATATGGATCTCTATAGATGAAACAACCGATAAAGCCGGAAGATTTATTGCAAATCTTATAGTGGGAACACTAACTGAAAACGAAAGAACTACGCCTTACCTAATAGCTTGCAAGGAAATTCAAAAAGTAGATAGTTCGGCGATATCAAGATTTGTAAATAGTACATTGAACAGTTTTTGGCCAAATGAAATGGAGAACAAAGTAATGCTGTTATTGACAGATGCTGCAGCATATATGATTAAGGCAGGTCAGCACCTTAAATATACCAATTCACCATTGACATCATGTGACGTAGAGCGGAGTTTTTCAGCATACAAATTAATACATTCGGAAAAAAGGCAGAAACTTACTCCGAGTAACATGGAAAAACTTATAATTATATACTGTAAACAAAATTATAACTAACAGTTTATACAGTTTATAAAATCTAAATTCTACCCAAATAACAAAACAAAAACAACCAAAATTATATGTAAAAACACAAAATTTACCTCCTTGGGCCAATAAAAATTTTTGTAATACTTTGTTTCCGTTTAAAATTTTTTTAAATAAACCACTGACTCGTCATTAATAAAAGAAGCCATCTTTTCAATTCTATGAGCGAAAAATAAAACCGAACCTTTTTTGACCTTTTTTGACCTATTCAAATAGGTTAAAATAGTCTTAGCATATTCCTTAACCTTCTTTGACCTAAAAAAAGGCATATTTTTGATATGCCACCATTTACTGAAAGCCTGTATTTTTATAAGTCTATTTTAAAAATTTCAAATTTTTTAGACCACAAACAAAAAAAAACCTAAAATCCGATGTCTACTTATTACTACAATGGTTATAAAAATTAAAAAAACATATTTTCACATTTTGACAACAACAAACAACTTTACAAAAGTACCTACTTCTACAGTTGAAATATATGTCTAAAAAATGTAGTGCATTTTTATTTACACAAAATTAAAATCTAATTTCGCTACTTTTAAAAATCTATTAAACTCTACAAAATAAATTAATTTATTCTTTATTTAACATTAAAAAAAATGTCGTAAAGCAAAATATCAGGGTGTTAAATAAACAAAAAATTCGTATCACATATATAGCAATATAGCTTCAAAATAAGCTGATAGAGAATCGAAAAAAGTCATCGGAAAATGGTAATCCCTCTGTAATCTCTGGCTAATCCCCTCGCGGACAACTTACTCCACTTGCTGCCCTTAAGCACTGGACAGCCGGCGTGCTTGGTGCGGTAGTCCATGTCCAGGGATCGATGGAGGTTGTACCAGAAGAGGACGTTGCCCATCTCCGGCTTGACGGCGATGTCCAGGAAGGGAAAGGCGGTGGCCCCGCCCTGTTCCACATCCGACAGCTAAGTAAGAAAATAATTACTCATCACTAAATCATAGGGATTAACACAAGTGTCACAACTTACATAAAATATGGCAGTGGCTATGCGGTTGCCCTCCTCCTCGGGATAATGATTGGGGTCCCGGAAGAAGTCCCAGTGCGGCTCGTAGTGCCCGCCCACTCCGTAGTTGGCCACCTGGAGCTGCTCACAGAAGGTGGTGTCCAGCCCGGTGGCATCCCTGAGGTCCTGCAGCATCCCCAGCATCGTGGGATGTGACTCGTACTCCAGCCAGGCATTTTTGCTCACCCGAAACGCGGACGTTTTCTTCTGTCCCCCCGGCAGAGGGTTCACTGTAGAGCGACGCATGCGGGGAACAGCCATTTCCCGGAGCTGTGAGATCTTCTTGGTACTCAGCATGTCGTGGAAGGTGGCCACATAGGGATCCAGACTGTGCTCCTCCAGCTTGAGAGGCGCCAAGAGCCGGAAGGGATGGCTGCCTCGGCTGTAGCGGCAGCGCAACTCCTGACGGGGAGTGGGATTAACCTCTCCTCGACACACCTTTTCGTACTGAGCGAACTCCTGCGACAGCTGGGGAAGGATTAAAAAATTATTTAAGTTTCCATAGTGATTTTAAAAAATATTATTATTTAATATTTATACATTTGTTTTGAATTTTATATACCTTTTTATGATAACGCCATCTTCTATGTGATAAAATTAAAATAATAGCGCTAAAATCGTTTAAAACTTTCACCGAACAATAAAAATTTATATAACATTTTCTTAAACAATTTTATTTAATTTTTAAGTATAATAATATTTAACTAAATTTTTGTTGTTGTTCTCTAAACTTCACTGTCACTTTGGCATATAAATTGCATTTGATATCTGCAATAAAAGTCCCACATTTCTTCGTTGTTTGTTATAATAATGCAGTTCTGTTTCCTTTCCAAGTGGTTCGGTTGATCTGGTGCCCATTTAAGAAATGTTGCTGGTCTGCCAGAAGCCACTGATACGTATTCGCCATCTTTCTTTAGATCATTAATGCCAAGCCAATAATATCTTTCGTTTTTGAGTTTCCCTTTAATGGCGTTGAATTCCTCTTCGTCTCGAATGGCAGCCAAATATCCTCCCAATTTACGACAAGAATCCGCAGCCGTTGTCCAATTTTGCTCAAGGTTATGTTCGAAATGAAAGAACCTGGACCCGATCTGCTCGAAAACAGGGGGAATTTTTTCTTCTGTTTCGTTCACTCTTGATTGGAAGTCTTCCATCGTGATAACACTTTTCACTGATTCTTGAAGAACCTGAACCGTTTGAAGAATGCTATCCAGTTTGATTTGTATGTCTGACTGAAGGGCCTGCAGTTGGTTACTCAACTCGGATTGCATCGCCAGCAGTTGTTTTTCCATTCTGAGTCCCTGGTCTTCCAGCCTCGATTTTACCGCCAGAATTTTGGACTGCATGAAATATTGCCTGCGTTCAATGGAAACCAATTTACCCCGCATTGGGTCCAGTTTACTGAGGCAGAATGGCCCACATTGATTGGGAGGATCATTCAGAAGACACACGGAATGTCCCTTTTCCTGGGTAGCTGCCCAAGACCCTTGCAAGGCCAGGAGAGCAAAGGAGCACAGAAGGTAGGTTGCCGAATAAAACATTTTAAATACGTTGAACGACTAAAGTCGAGCGGCTTTAGCACACTGAAGCTCAGCTACTTGTTGACAAAAACTAAGAGGCCTCACGCTTAGCTGATAACCAACGCACTGGCGATGACCTGCCTGCGTTCTCGTTTGATATCAGCATTTTCGGAAATATACTATTTATTATAATATATTATTCCTGAACAAATTCAAGTCATTGAACACAGTAGAACTTCCGTCCCACGAACTATAGTATACCTTTTAAAATCAGGGTTATTTTTTCTGTCCAAATATTCGATGGTACAGATAACTTTGAGCTTTGACTTTAGTTGACTAGCCAAAATTTTTGCGGATAAGAAGTTATAAAAGTTGTAAATTTACCATGAATTAATATAACTGTAACTATCTGTACAAAAATTGTAAACAAGAACTACTATAAGGCTTAATCGGGTACACTATAGAAATAATTGTGACTAAGACAATTGCTATGGCAATATGTCCGTAAATATATTAATTTTTATGAATTTGAAAAAACAAAGTTGATACTCAATGCTATCAAATAATATCCCCCCACTTCATATCCATATTTTGTTGTGTATATTAGTTTTTTCTCTTTTAACTTACGTTGTAGGAATCCGTGTGCTTTGGCAGGTTGTCCTCATCGATGTCCTCTGGGGGAGCAGTTCCCTTGTCGCCGAGATGCCAGTTCCTTATGCGCTTGGGATCGAACTGGAGGACCCGTTGGCTCAGCTCGTAAGCCGTATCGAAGTCGCCTGAAAATCGTGTGAATGAGTATCCTCAATACCATTAGATTTAATTTTCATTTTTTGCTCACCCATTTGGAACAAACTCTTGGCCGTCGCCTCCATTTTGTTGAGGGTAACTGTATCCGGGCCGCTGGTGGGCGTCGAGTGGCTGTGGGCGTGGCTGCTGTGACGTCGCAAACGGTCCATCGATTCCCTCAGCCAGACCTTCGTGTTGTTGTAGTCCTCCATTTCAAAGAGTTGTTGACCCAGCTCGAAGCAATCCTGCCAGCTCATGTCCGAGCTAAAAATAAAGGCTGAAAGCGTTGTAGCTGGTTTTTTCAACTATCGTATACCCTTTGAAAATAAAACTATGTTCTCTGCACATTAATCAATATTCATGTTGAATATCTTTTTGGGGGTTTATAGATTTATAAGCTGAATTTGAAATTCCATTGACGCATGAAGAGCTATTTTTACTCAGAATGCCGATATTCAGGAAACGGCTGATTTATCTTGATTAATTTATATCATTCGGAAGCTAAAGAAATAACGATTTACGAGAAAAAAAATATTTAATTATTTAAAACTGACCTTTAATGATATGAGATTTATGATAAAGAAAATATTGGTATTTAATTATTTGTAATTGAAGTTAAATAAATGAGGCATAAATAAATGAGGCATATATTTAAAACACAATAAAATAAAACAAGAGGGAACGTTATAGTCGGATGCCCCGACTATCAGATACCCGTTACTCAGGTAAAGGGAGTGCGAGGGAGATGGAGATAGAGATAGAAAACGTTGATCACGCATAACTTTTTAACGAATGGTCCGATTTGAAAAATTTCTTCTACATTTCGATAGGTATTGATAAACACAATAAAACTGCATTTTTACTTTTCCAAAATATTAAAATTTTTAAAATCGTATATAAGCGATGGTGGGCGTTAGAGGGGGCGTGGCACCATTTTGAAACAAACTTGCGCTGCGTAGGAATTCCTAGAATCTGCATGCAAAATGCCAATCTTCTAGCTTCTATAGTTTCCGAGATCTCAGCGTTCATACGGACAGACGGACAGACAGACAGACGGACAGACGGACAGACGGACATGGCTAGATCGACTCGGCTAGTGATCCTGATCAAGAATATATATACTTTATGGGGTCGGAAACGCTTCCTTCTACCTGTTACATACTTTTGCACGAATACAATATACCCTTTTACTCTACGAGTAACGGGTATAAATATCCCCAGAAAATGTGTAACAAAATGAACCTAAAAATCAGTGTACCCCTCATATCACCGATTTCGATTGGGGTTATGTGGGAAGGGCAGCTACTCGATTGAACTGGGATTAGATGGGATAGCTCTGTATTTTAAGCCTGGCTGGTTATTGCTTATTCGCTCATTCTGAGGTCTCACCCGTATTTGACGCCATTCAGGATGCCGGCAGCCACCTGGGCCACATCCAGTTTGTAGGTGCTCTGCAGGCGAACGAGGGCCAAAGCAGCCCCCTCCACGTCCTCCTGGCTGGGATAACTGAGTCCATACTCACGGGTAGCATTGAAGTCTGTTTAGAGAAAACCCCCTAAGGGGTTATAATACTTCCTTGAGGTGGATCATCCCACCAACTCACTCATTTCCTCAGCCATCAGCTGAACTCGGCCCTCCATCAAAAGCCAGTCCGTGTGGAGTCGCTTCATCAGGCGGTAGACATTCACCGGATTGGTCAGATAGTTCTCCGTATCCACTGCAGCCATGCTGTGCTCCTTTTCGATCGAAGACAATTCCCTGCGAATTGAACGAGTTTCGAACGATTCTGCGATTAACCTACCAGTTTAGCCGATTTATGAGACTCGTGTCGTCATAGGGAGTCCGTATACTCGTATTTCGGCTTAATTAATTCTAATTTATGTGTGATTCCATATTCATAATAGTTTTTATGATCGCTGCGATAAGAAACATCGGGGCGAGATCCAATAAAACGAAAGCGAAATGCCAAAAACAAAGGCGAAACCTGATAACCAATATTCGCCGATCGCTGATCCAAAGCCAACTGTCAATAATGATCCAATATCGCTTTGGCTAATACTCTCCAGATTAAACTAACTACTCTGCATTCGGTGACAGGTGGTCATTCGCGATAACACTAATTTAATTTAAGATCATCTGTTCGCACATTTGAAGCAGACATAAAGTCTGGCACCTCGTGTGTTTTCGGGTGACTCTGTAAACTAGTTCTCGAAAAAGGGGCCATAAAAGATTAATGGATTTGCTAACGACAATGGGCTGTAATTAAATTAGCATTGTTTCAAAAATCGTGATGCGGCTAAAACTATTCTGGGTTTCCTATGCTTTAGGGTTCGAACTTGGAATATCCTCTATTGATAACTTTTTTTGGATGATTTTGGAGTATATCCCAAAACGCAAGTGCTATCCAGTTATTATTTTCTAAATGTTTCTTAACTGGTTAATTCGTCCTATTCATCTGTAGGTGTGACTTGACAACATTTATACGGGTTAAGTTTGATTTCAGGTTAGGCTTTTGAATAATCTCGGTTTTATATTAATAGTCTTGCATTTATAAGAATTAAATAAATGTACAAGTACTCCGTTTATAATATTGTTTGATATTGTCTAAGATAATATTCTTTGACTGAAGTTGTGATTAGGTAATTCCTTGAGAATGACTTCCTAAATATCCTTTTTCATACCTTTCCTATATCCTTTCACACTTTACTATACTCACCCCTCTAATTGTTGCAGTAAACTCCTGATGCCATTGACCTTTGACCTCAGTTCCTTTGTGAGATATTCCTCTGTGTGCAAAAGTTCCTCCAGACCCGTGATGGAAGAAAAGTAATCCGAGGCCATAGATCCCTGAAGCAGTAAGGACATCAGTCCCACCAGTAATAAATGTCCCCTCATTTTGTGTTATATCCTTTTTATATCCGGTTTTATTCAAGGAAAAATCCTTGCTATACCGCGTACTATTTTAATCCGTATATCTCTTGAAGATCTTCAAGTCCGCCGTGTTTCGCGACTCGTGGCGAACTGTTCGTTTTTTTCAGGGGATCTTTGAGAGATCTCGCTTTGGAGGTATAACATCCCCCAAAAGATGCGGAGAGAAAAACCGGCGGCGAGAATTAATTTCGCATGTGCGAGATCTCGATATAAACTAGTTGCGGTGGCCTATGATTTGAAGAAAACTGTTTTATTAGCCAGTTCTGTCGGTGTTTCGATGCGGAGAAGTTGCTTTGCTTTTGCGGCTCGGCGTGTTTTATGGCTTGTTTTGCGCTGATTTACTGATGCTTATCATCGGCTGAGCTCGTTTCGAATTCTAAATTCTAAATTCGATTCGGAATCGGATTCGGATCGCCTATTGTCTTTAGCTCAAGATTAGACCAGACCGGCATATTAATACAGGCTAATTGGCCGTTAGCTGTTTGATATTTAAGACTGCAGTTCGGTTTATTTTAGGCTAGGACCGATTAACATTTCACATCCGACTGGTGCGACATTTCATATTGTTTTAAATCGAGCAATGATTTGTTAATAAGCCGACCACCATAACTCACACTGTTTTGATCGGCAATCTCAGCTGATTTATCGACTTCAGAGGCGGCATTTCAACGCGGGCTTCCTCTTAACAACAAACAAATAGATAGGCAAATAAACAAACAAACAATTATGGATCCCAGTGAAGCCACCCATTTTAGCCTTTTGTTTGCCCCGACCATTCACACCAAATGGCCGAATTCGAATGGCCACTCCCAGTGGGAAATAACGCAATAAAAGGCTGATTTTTAATCAAATGCCAAGGTCAACTTTATTTGATTCCCCCGCTGGCAATTAATGCACATGTACGTATGTGGCACATCGCATCGGAAAACCCGGGAAAACCATGGAAACCCATCAGGCCAACGTCATTGGAGTCCTGTCCACGCAGCTGCATGCGAAATTGAGATGAATAACAAGAGAGAACGCTATAGTCGGGTTGTTGTCCCGACTATCTAATACCCGTCACTCAGCTAAAGGGAGTGCGAACGCTGTGTCGGGTTGGTGTCCCGACTAATAATCGTAACTCAGCTAAAGAGAGTGCGAGGGAGATAGATATATAATTTTTGATTGCGTATAACTTTTTAATGAATGGTCCGATTTGAAAAATGTCTTCTACATTTCGATAGGTATAAATATACACAACAAAATTGCATTTATACTTCTCGGAAATCTTTAAAGATGTGGGCGCAGGACCCATTTTAAAATCGTTAGTGGGCGATTGTGGGCGATTGTGGGCGTTAGAGGGGGCGTGGCGCTCGGCTAAAATAAACTTGCGCTGCGTAGGAAGCCAAAGAATATGTGTGGGAAATCTCAACCTTCTAGCTTTTGTAGTTTCTGAGATCTCAGCGTTCATACAGACGGACAGACGGACAGACGGACAGACGGACAGACGGACAGACGGACAGACGGACATGGCTAGATCGACTCGGCTAGTGACCCTGATCAAGAATATATATACTTTATGGGGTCGGAAACGCTTCCTTCTAGCTGTTACATACTTTTGCACGAATCTAGTATACCCTTTTACTCTACGAGTAACGGGTATAAAAATGGAAATTAGCAAAAGGGCTGGAAAAGTCGACGGGGAGGTACCCTAGAACCTTAAAATAAGTCCTGCTTAAAAGTCTACACTAAACTTTAACAGAATAATTAAGATTGTATGTTATAAGATTTTTAAAAATAATTTTTTTTAAGGTAACATCTAAAAATATCTTAGGTGAATTTAAAAAAAATTAACGTACTATAATATTAAAAACTAACTAAATATATATAATCAATAATGGAAAAGTCGACTAAGAGGTACCCAGAAAAAACTAAAAATAATTTCTGCTTAAAAGTCTTAACTAAACTTTAACAGAATATTTACGATTTTAAGATATACGATTTTAAAAAATGTTTGTCAACTTTAGATACAATTTAAAAATATCTAAGGTGAATTTTATATTTACATATATATTTTCTATAAATATACAAAATAATAGAAATAATCAAAATATTTAGTAAATCTTTGGATGCAACTTTAAATTTTAAAATCAATTTTTGTTTGCGTAAAGAATTTTTACAAAAACTAATTTTCAGGTACCAAATGGAAAGCTAATATACCCTCCGTACAGGGTATCTCAACATGTCAACATGTTCTACTGACAAGCGATGACAGGGAAGCTGGGATGTGGTAAATGCGACTGGGCCGCAAACTGAATCCCGGCACGCTCTATCTACACCTCCATCCAACATTCTCCCCCACCAACCTCACCAAAACTTACACAACTGAACGCCGAGGAGCACGGGACAAACTGCCTGGCCACTGCGGTAGTCCCACTCCGAGGATGAGAAGGAGGAGCCTCCGGCGGATCTCGTGTGCCAGTGGAGCAGCGAACCACGTGGGACATTCACGCCAAGCTCCAGCTGCGGAAAAACCACAGCCCCGCCCATTCCGGGTGGCTGCAACTGTGGAGACCGGAATTTAATTAGTCACACATTAGTCAATTAATTAGGCCTCAGGTCGGTTAGCCACGTACGTTCAGCATGACACGTGCCACATTCCCGAGTTGCGAGCTATCCTCCAATTTGGTGGAGTGCCCGTGACCGTGGCGACGTCCCGTCCAAGGATCCAGGTCCCCAGTCTTGAGACCCAGGCGATAATTAATCCGCTTCAGCTTCTTTTGCCCCATTTTCGATAGCTTCAGCGGTTCATAGCTCCTAACTCCGTTGGTATCATCCTCCTCCTCATCTATAAGTTCCAGCAATTGAGCGATTTCCTTTGGGCTTAGAACATCGTGATGGAGTACTATATATGGATCTGAACTGAGTGGCTCCAATCTGGAGGGCTGGAGGAGCAACCAGGGCGTATTTCCCTCTAGCTTACAGTGACTGAAGCGACTTCCTGTCGTGGATTTCTGGGTTGCCCCGCGGCAGAGTTCCTCTATGAGCATCTGTTCTGCAGATTTGGTTTTCTGGAAAGGAAAAGTTATATTATTTTTAAGTTCTTCTTATTTACCAATAGAATTTTTTATTATATTACAAAACATTCCCAATTTTAGAAAATTGTGCAAATAAATCTGTTATTAGGTAAATAATATTTTGTGAATTTAAAAAAAACCATTATCTTAAATTTAACAATAGATTAAAGGACTTTAAAATGCTTATTAATTGAAGTATGGAATGGATAGAAGCATTTTACATTTTACTTTAAATTTTAGAGTCTAAAATGCTTGTCATATTATATTAATAAATACAAAATTCATTTTAATTTTTTTTTCAACATTAATGAAATTTTTAAAGTATTTAATACCTACAATATAGCTATTTTCCAACTTACGAACTTTTACTCACTTTAGTCTTCGACTTTGTGTGCCTGCCCTTGGGCAATTCCTTCTTGGCCATGGCTTTTTCAATCTTTCTCTTGGCCTTTTGAATGTTTTGGTTCATTGGGAGCAGCAACAGCAGCTCCTCGGCAGTGGCCAAGGCTCGGGAAAGTTCCCCTAGAAAAGAAAAAATAACAAAATGGGAGGAAATTTGGAATTCAGTCGAGGGGATATTGCACTTAATCCCAGGTCAACCCACCAGCGCGGTATTCAATGTTGAGAGCAGCCTCCAGGATGTGAACACGACCGCTTTCCCGTTCCCTCTGCGCTTCTGTGGAGTTTTCCGAGGCGGCGGGCAGCTTTTCCAAGGCCGATTCTAGCCAAAATCTAGCCACGGAAAAGTCGGACTTGCGCGCCACTTCTAGGCAGTCGCCCCAGGACATGGCGGATCTGAAATTATGCAAACAATTTTTGCTTGCTTTGGTTTGTGATTTTTCTTTTTGCTCACCCCAATTTCAAGCCATTCACCATGCCCAAGGAAAGGCTGTTGGAGTCCAATTCGTAGACGGACTGTAGGTGAAGCAGTTGATTCAGCGACTCCTCGTAGTCCTCCTCGCTGGGAAGGATTAAATCCTTATCAGAGGAAGCCTGTTCCGAATTTATAAGCAGAGTTTCATTTGCCTGCTGCTCTAGCTTTGGCCACACACTATCGAATCTCTTGAGAATGCCGAGAACATTCAGGGGATTTCCCATGTACTTCTCCACATCAACCACCTGACTGTGAATCTCCTCGATGGCCGAGGTCTCCCTGCGGATCTCCTCCAGCTGCAGCTCCAATCTCTCTATATAGTCACGCAACTCATCGATCAGCTGCGTTTCGGTGGCCAAAAGAGCCTCCAGCTGCTCCTCTCCCCTGGCGAAATTGGTTCCAATAACCTTTTCCGTCAGCAGAAACAGCTGAAGCAGCCACAAAACACTAAAAGCCATCGGCATTTGCATAATTAGTTGTCTCCGGTGATTTTTATTCAGTCTTTTTTTGTCTTGGCCCTCGGGTCAATGACTAGAGATTTTTTCTATATTATGTATAAGCTCTGAAGTTCGAGCCAAGCGGAGAACGTTCGACTGACCGGCTTGAATCGCGTGGCTAAACTGAGGCCAAGGCCCCATTTTCCCATTTAACCTAAGAAAGTGGTGAGTTTAGTTTTTTAGCCATTCGTTTGAACTTAGTTTAGTAACCTTCATGGTGAATTTTAAAGATCTTATTATGTATCTCTTGGATTCTTAATAACCAGTTAAGGTATTTATTATGAAATGATAATGTTGCAGGTAAATATTTTATTATTTGTTAGCCTTATTTATGCTCTAAGTCCAGGAATTTTCCTTCATTGCTGATGAGTCCACAAGGTCGTCTGAATTCCTGGGCTCCCACATGGAACCACTCATTGCAAACTGTAAGTAATAATATTTTTAAGATATTTTTATGAAAAATGTGTATTGTTTTAGGTAAACTTACTCCACTTGGAACCCTTAAGAACGGGACAACCTGCGTGCTTTGTTCGAAAGTCTTTGTGCATGGATCTATGTAGATTGTACCAGATCAGAAGACTGCCCTTCACAGGTGGAACTGCCAAGCTCAGAAAGGGGAAAGCAGTGGCACCACCAAGCGCGACATCGTTTAGCTAAAAAAATGTACAAAAAATTTTATAAATTTTTATCAATATTTTTAAAATGTATTTTTAATAAAAATTTTTTATAACTTGAATGCCAATAGAATGGTCATGTTTTTACGAAATCAACGACGTACAATATTTCTTATTTGAGGCTGGAAATGTACTTGTTGTTTCTTGATGATAATAATTTTAGACATTAAATATTTATATCATATTTTCACTTTTTTTACATCACAATTTTTTGCAAAAATGGATAAAAAATATATTTTTTAAACTTTAATGCCAATTGATTTAGAATGTTTTTAGGAACTCAACAAGATATAAAATTCTAGATTTGGAACATTATTTCGCATTATTTTGGGGAAAATTGGGTTTTTTATGAGACTTTGGTGTACCAAAATAATCAAAATATTTTGTAAAATATTTAGGTTTCTGACACGATTTAATTAATATGTATAAGATGTTATATTGCATTTAGTTAATAGCACATAAAACTTACATAGAAAAGAGCGGTCAAGAGGCGGTGGCCTTTCCAACCAAAAACAGAATGACCATCGCCCTGTGAAAAAAAGGAATTACTTTAGATCCAAAATCGGAGTTACTCGATAAACTCACATCCATGAAGTCGAAGTGCGGCTCGTATTGTCCTCCAATTCCGTAGTTAACCAGCTGCAGTGGCTCCGCACTTTCCGTACTCAAACCGGTGACATCCTCGAGTCGCTGTTTGATCTGGGAAAGCCAGGGATTCTGCTCATACCAAAGCCAGGTGTTTTGGCTGGTGCGAATATCAGTTGTGGTGGAGTTCTCCACTTGTCCCACCATCGAACGCTGCATGTTACCCTTGCCATGATCCATAATCAATTCCATTTCACTATCCCTCAAAACCTCATGAACATAGGCCACATATGGATCCAGATTTAGTTGTTCTATTTTGAAAGGCGAAAGATGGTAGTAATGGACTCCTTGGTGGCTTAGCCAGCACTTGAGATTGCGCTGCTCTCGAGGAGTTTGGGTGAGTTCTCCTTGACAAACGCGTTTATAAAGCTGGTAGCTCTCTTTTTGCTCCTGTTGAAATATAATAAATATATTTTTAGAATTTCAGTTAGCAAATCAAGGGTTCTACTTACATTTTCCTTCGATTGGTTTAAATCCTCTTTCTTTCCAGGACTAAGACTTCGTTCCTTAGCCAACTTATTTTCATACACTATCTTGTTTCTCAGCGCATCTTCATGTTCAGAATTCTTATCCAGTATTTCATTATTCAGCTTGTGAGCCAGTTTAAGATTGCCCAAAGCATTGAAAGCGGGTGATAGCTGCTCCAGAATCTCGACATCACTTACATTGGGGGAAATGAAACCCAGATCTTTGCCATGCGATCTTTTTTTGGCCTCCATTAGCCATTCGGAACCATAGGAGTACTCCTTAATCTGGCAGAGATTCTTTCCCATTTCAAAACAATCACTGGCACTCAAAGAGGTGCCCAATGGATTTTTCTCCTCAGGAAGTAAAACTCCATTGGCCAATTGATCCGTAGGTAATTGATAGACATTCTGAAGTCGAAGAAGTCCACGAGTCGCACCTTGCAGATCCTCCTGAGTGGGTCCTTTGAACTGAATCTTCTCCAGAGATTCGCTTAGAGAACTCTTGTAGGTCTCAAAGTTACTAGTTTCGAAAACGGGATCAAAAACATTGAACTTCCAGTCGTGAACAAGACGTTTAATGGTTATAAAGGCGTTGAGAGGATTACCAAAGTAAGCCTCGAGATCGCCACGATCATTTTGCAACTCGTCTACGTGATCCAAAAATCTGTTTTAAAAATGAATATTATATAATAAATATTTAAAATATTGATGGTATAGCTGTACCTTTTGATATTCTCCTGTTCTTCCTGAGCTCTATTTAGATACTCATCGAACTTTTCTACTATAAAGGCCTCCACGTCAAGAAGTTTCTCCAGCTCACTTATAGCCGAGTAGTAATCGCCATTTATTGAGGAAGAACTCAGTACCAAAAAAATAATACTGAACCGAAACATTTTCACTGCTCTGCGTTCCATTTCTTACTGTTCTTAGTTTCATATAGGAACATTTTTTGGAGACTGTCTGTCTTCCATAAATGCAGCTAAGCAAACATTTACACAGTTGCTTTTTTTCGGCATTTCTAATGGAAAGTAGGTGGAGATCCCGAGAGCTACACGCTTATTGTCCCAAGATCAATAGAGAACTTAATTTATTTATTTTATTTATATTGTTAGAGAGTATTTCTGTTCGCCTCATTTATAAAATGAAATCAAATCAAAGCATGAAATGATAATTTTTCCAGCTAAAAAGCATATTTAAATTCTTTTCCGGTATTTCTGCCTCAGTTTATCTCGAGATGTCAAAACTAAATAGTTTATATGCCTTATTTTACCTAATATTTTTGTTAACGAGCCTAGGCAAAACTGAATTGGTAGAAAATAATTATGCGGTCTCGACATACGACATGGGGTACTTAGTTTCCCATGAGCGTTACCTACTGGATATATTACAAAACTTTACCAATGAACTCCAGAAGAAAGTGGATACAATAGAGTAGTGAGTAGAAAAGTTAAGAGTTTTTAAAATCTATTTCATATATTTTATAACCAAAGCTATTTGGAAATGATGGCGTACGAGGATGAAGAGGATTTTCCTACCGATCCAATTGAATCTTTTCGGATGATTCGTCGTTTGTACTCGGACTACTCAAATTGGGCTTGGTACTTGGAGCAGCAGCCATGGGAGGGTAAGTATTTCCCTAGTTCAGAAAGGGTTTTCAAAATATATAACCTTTGGATTAGCCTATGTTGATCATATGATTGCTATTGCTCCGAAAATGCCAACGAAAAAGGACATTGAGGAGGGCATAAGGGGTTTGAAGCTCATACAGTGGGTTTACTCCCTACCAGCTAGTCAAATGGCCGAGGGAGTCTTACAAAACGTCCATCACAAGTAAGATATATTTATATTAATCAGTAAGATATATTTATACATAACTAAATTATTATTTCCCAGCTCCTCACTCAACGCAATGGAACGTTATACCATTGCCAAGGATATGGCCAAGAATAACGAACTCAAGTTGGCCATGGAGTGGTTAATTGTGGGTTTGAACAAGTATACGGCCGATCGGGAGAACGAGGATTATTTTACCCAATTGGGAGTGCCCCTGTCCAGTTTCTATGAACTATTTGTGGAACTTCAAGATGGATTAGGTGGGAATTTGTAGATTAATCAATTGATTTTCTGATTTTTAGGTTATTTATCTTAGGATCGCGAACTTTTGCCCTGAAAGAGCTGCAAGCTGCCTTGAAACGGTGGCCGGAAAAGTTCAGTCTATCAAGAGTTCAATCTCGTTTGCAAATGAACATTCGCACTGGAAAGGAACCAAATATAAAAGTGAGTATATATAATAATAATAAATTAAATATTTAAAAATAATTTCCAAAATATTTTATTTATTTTATTATTTATTTTATTATTTATTTTATCCCAAATATCTCCAAAACTCTTCTACCAACCAGAAAGATATCCCAATGGGTAAATATCAGCAATGCTGCACCTCTGAGTGTCGTCCCAACTCCAAACTCTTCTGCCTGTACAACTCCACCACCTCGGCTTTCCTGCGCTACGCTCCTCTCAAGATGGAAGTTCTTTCCCTCGATCCCTATATAGTGCTCTACCACGATGTGATTTCCGAAGAGAACATCGTTCGCGTTCAGAATCTCACAAAGGGTAGACTTGAACGAGCCAAGACTTATGGTAAGGATGGAAACCTTAGAGAAGACCCGGATCGCACAACCAAGGGATTCTGGTTAGAAGAAGATGTTGAGGTGGTATTGAAAATGGAAGAAATCACACGGGACATGAGCAATTTCGATCTCGAAGAGGCGGAGCACTTTCAGGTTATGAACTACGGAATAGGCGGATATTACTACATCCATTTCGACTTTTTAGGGTATTCAAAGGTAAGATTGATAGATAGGACTTTTGTTAAAAATTATAACATGGTTTTCTTGGCAGGAGAACGATGTGAGCTTATCGGACCGCATAGCCACAGTTGTATTTTATGTAAGTAAGGGTTGTTTTTTATGTTAAATATCTTAAAACTTTCTTGAAACTATCATTCAAAGCTAAACGATGTCCCGCAAGGTGGAGCCACAGTATTTCCGGATCTTAAACTCACGGTTTTCCCCAAAAAGGGTTCGGCACTTATGTGGTACAATCTGGATCACAAGGGTGAAGGCGATAAGAGGACAGGGCATTCAGCTTGTCCAACCATAGTGGGTCCCAGATGGGGTAAGAATATATAACTTTTAAGATAACATAACTGAAATAACTAATTCTATCCATTTTTGCAGTCATGACCAAGTGGATAAGGGAAAGAGACCAAGTTTTTAGTAGGCCTTGCTTGAGAAGCATTTAGATAAATTATCTTGTAAATCTTTACGGTTAAAATGTAATACTTCGGGTTCTCTATACAAAATCGATTTATTTTGTAGACGATGCAATAAATAATCTTGTTTTTCACGCTACTTTTTCACCCAAGATTTTGTTATTATTATTGTTAAACTTGAGCCATGCGGTTTGTTGTGAGATTTTCTATTGCTTTAGTGGCTTTATTTTTTCCCAAGTGGGTTTGCACTACAAAGATCGAACGGTATTTTGATCTCGATTTTCAGCTAATGACCCAACTGAAAAGCTATTCGGAGGACCTGCAAAATCACATCAGTGTGTTAAATCGGTAAGAAATTATTAGTAATTACATTTTTTTTTTTATTTTTTTTTTTAGCTATATAGATGGCAGGAAAAGTGAACAGGCCAAGGTTGGAATTGATCGAGAAATATATTTGGGAAATGCTATCAATAGTTACTCTTTATTGCACCACATGCATTTCGATTGGCCAATTTGGAGGAGGCTAATGGAAAAACGCTTGGGTGAAGGTATTAAAATGTTATTCTATTTTTGGTAAAAAGTATCAAATGAACTCTCTTATATAAATTTAAAGAGCAAATTGCTGAAATGCGGGAGCTGCTGACCAAGATTCCAAATAATGATGAATACATGAATTCCATAAAAGAGGCCATCGATTTTCAGAAACAGAACAACGAGGAATACGAGGAATACGAAGACGATCTTCTCTTTAGGTAGGTAATGGTAAAGAAACCATGAACAATTTAATGTAATTTGATTAATCAAATAGCCCAATGGAATCCCTGGAAATCGCTCAGTATGCTTACGACCAAGAAAATTATGTTCAGGCAGAAGACTGGCTGAATACTACGCTCAAAGGCTACAAAGATCTTGATAACCAGGAAAAGGAACTTTATGAAGTTCTTATCCCTGTTAGCCAAACTCAGGTGCAGGATCTCTATGAAAAAGTAAAAAAAATAAATGGAAGGACCGCTTAAAAGTGGAGTTAAAAATGTTTAGACAAATAAAGCACTCCATTTAATTTAATAACTATTTTAGTCATGGTTTACAGGGTGACGAATTTTTCATTAGTAATGAAAACAGTCAGTCTTTAGTTGAGATCGTAGACATGAAAACTCAATTTAGTTTTTCATTATGGGTTATCCTAACTTTTATATCTCTTTCAAAATCTGAGACTCGCCCTGCTGAATCGATATTTAAATTTATAAACTTTATGCAATTTAATAGAAATTTGGTGGAGTACTTAGAAAACTATATAAAGGCATTGGAAATCAAATTAAAAGTTATTAACGAGTGAGTTTTTAGTCAACTAAGTGTCTTGACTTGAAGTCTAATTAATCCTTTCCAGAGCTCTTGTTGATTTGGCTAGTTATCATATTCAGTTTGAAGATGATAAATTGGGTATTATATCTAGTCCAGTGGGAAGTTACTCCTTGATACATCATATGCAATCGGATTGGACTTATTGGCAGCTATTTCTTCAAGAGGATCCAGGAAAAGGTATCAATAAGTCATATATTCACTTTACTCTTTATTCACTTTTAAATCACAGATGAATTGGAATCTATAATATCGAATAAAAGATATCTACCCCTTAAAGAAGATGTATTAAAAGTCTGTCAGGATATTTCTAGTATTATAAGCACCTATGACTTGATTCCAGAAAACATTTCAAAAGGATTGGGATACAAGTATGTTATCAAGTGCTTCCAAATTTGAAAAAAGTTTATCAAAGTTTATTTATAAAAGGTCCCCTATATCTTCTCGCGATTGCCTTCGGATGGCAGATCACAGTTTAGCTATGAAAGACTTCAAACAATCCAAACAGTGGCTTCAGCTGGCTATATCCATCCTTTATGATCCTAGTTATAAGGAACGACACTTCCTTTTTAGGAAGTTAAATTCCGCTGATTTATACTTGAAACTAGCAGAAGTCTATGTGGAGCAAAGTAAGTTATGTCATTCTTACTAAAAACTTTAAGTTATTATTTTGAGTTCTCCCTTAGAAAACTGGCTTCTAGCTCTTGAGACTGTTGATCTTGCTTTAAAGTCACAGCCCCAAAATGCTACGCTGCTGAGATTGCAAGACTATTTGGGCTCTCACATTTTACTTGATCCTCCCCCGAATCCGGATGTTGATAATGAAAATAACGCTTATCGGTTTCAAGGAAATAAAAGCCTTTATTGTTTTTTTCAAACCAGAAAAGGACTTTTCGCACGAAACAGGGCAGAAATGATCTTTCTTGATCCCTTGTTTATAATATACCATGATTAATGTTCATAAGTCCTAAGAAAATGTTAATACATGAATTTCCCTATAGATAAAAACTCTTTAGTGTTTGAATCGATGCAAGGCCTTCTGAACTCTTGTCCAATGTCCTGTATAAACTTGCTTACAACTGCAAAGGATTAGAAAAATCTTGGAAAATTAAAATAATCCTAACTTCTTGTATTACAAACCCCATTTGGAGCCCACGATGACGGGACAGCCGGTATGTAAGGTTTCCATTTGCGGATTGCCCTTATTGTCCAAATTAAACCAGAAAAGAGCCGATCCGATCTTGGGAAAAACCGTTATGTTTAGTGCTGGAAAATAGGTGGCTCCACCTTGCGTGACATTACTCAACTGGAGGAAAGAAGCTTTATAAAGAAAACGTATTCCAAAAATCATAAAATACTTGCATAAAAGAGTGCTGTAGCCATTCGATCTGGCTTTCCTAGCTTTAGATCCACATGGGTTTCAAAATATCCCCCTAAACCATAGTTTACAACCTGGAAGAGCTCTGTGTGGTTCATATCCAGACCAGTTGCATCTTCTAACCTTTTGGTTATTTTCGCAGTTGCCTCATTATAGATATTTTCATACCGAACTGACTTTGAAAAGCGCGAGGGGCCCACTACAAAGCCTTGTACTTCGCCACTATAATAATTGGTTGGTAAAATGTGATCTTTGCTAGAATTCCGAATTAATAAACTTTCTTTTGAGGAGATCATGTCATGTAGTAGAGTTATAAAGGGATCGATTGAGAGAATCTCAATTTTGATGGGGGAAAGTCGGAGAAATGGGGAAGTTACATGGTTGTAAAGGCAATGTAGTCTTCTAAGTTTAGGGGGCACTTCACAGCGACCACTGCAACAATTTGGCAAGTGAGAACGAACATAGGTGTAATGTTCCTCATCTTGCTTATCTGTATTTGCTTTGGTTTCAGGAGAAGTTAGAATTCTTTTTTGAAAGTTAAGATAATCCTGGAAAATTTCCACGTCGTGTGGCGACTCTTTTAGGGCCAAATGATAGGCTTCAAAGGCACCCTCGTGATTTTCTGCAATAATTTGAAGTATATTAAATCCTCTACTGCCTTTAATTCATACTCACCCAACTCAGCCCTCACTTGTCCCAGTAGCCAAAGAAGATCCTCCCTATTTGGACCCCTTGCAACTGCATTTCCAACTGAGGATTTGTTCTATCGTAGGCTTCAATGCCAGCCAAAATCCATTTCTCCGCAGTTGCTAGATAATGCTGATTTATCAGATCGCGACCCAGTTCCTGACAATCAATGGCTACCAGTGACGAGCTAATAATGGGTTAATGATTTCATTTTTATAAGATAATAAATACGATATTTACTTGTACTTCATTCCATCTAGCAAACCATTAGCTATATCACTGGCTAAAAGTTGGTATGTCCCCTGCATTCTGATAACTCCATCAGCAGCATCCATAAAGTCATCTACCTGAGGCATTATCGCATTCAGGGACTGTAAATAACCCAGTTGTTCTGAAAGAAGATAGTTCAGAGAACTAAAGAACACCCTGTAATGGAGTTACGAACCCAAACCCAAAGGCTTTTCCAGATATTCCAGCCACATCAACCAATCAGCGTGCATGTGACGAATGAGGGAATAATTGATATAAGGGCTGTCCCCTTGCATTTCCTTCATCTGATGGATCCCCCTTTAATGCTTACTTAAGATCGGGTATACACAACTCTCCTCTTGTACTCACCACCTAATAATTTTGGCTTTCTGAATGAGCACATCCGTATAATTTTCCAAATTGCTCACCAGATCGTCTTCCATCTTCAGTAAGTCATCCATATTGACCACAGATCTTGAGTATCGCTGTTGGGAATTCACTTCTAACACCTGAGAATAACTCAGCCTTCCAGAAAGAATTCCCACTAAAAGCAGTCTATAGATCAACATTCTTTTTGCCATAATCCTAAACTAAAATAGGAGGTAAAATTCCCAGACCTTAAACTAATATTATAATTAAATTTTTACAGCTTTAGCTTCACTTAAAATTTTAAATTTAACTGAAGAACATTTACCATGAATAAATCATTTAGAGATTGTAATAAGAAAATACATCACCTGAAACAAGACTCATTTTTACTAAGTAATTATAAGGACTAGTTTTACATTCTACATTTATCATTTAATTTTTAAAACATAACGCATACAAAATTAAATTATAAGTTTTTCAACAGATGCCAAGTACTTTGCACTAGAAATAGAATCGATGCAGGGCCTAGTGAACTCTTGACCCATATCTGTTATCCACTTACTGACAACTGTGAGAAAAATAAATAAATATCATAAAATAAAACATATTTGTAATGTACACACCCCATTTGGAACCCACGAGGACGGGACATCCTGTATGCAGGGTAGTCATGAGATCATTACCCTTTGTATCCAAGTTGTACCAGAAGAGAACCGATCCTGCCTTCGGAAAAACCGTGGTGTTCAGTTTTGGGAAGTAGGTGCCACCGCCCTGTGGAACGTCACTTAGCTGAGGAATATTTAATGGAAAATGAAATAATAAAAATAGTTAAATAGGAAGAGATACCAACATAGAAGAGTGCCGTAGCTATACGATCAAAGGTTCCGTTGAATCGAGCTTCGTCCGAAAGCAGCATGTCGATATGTGTCTCGAAGAAGCCCCCCAATCCATAGTTGATGACCTGGAAGAACTCTGTAAACCTCATATCCAGACCAGTTGCATCGCCCAGGCGTTCATGTATATTCCTGGTAGCCTCGTTGTGATCGTAATCGTACCAAACTGACTTCGAAGTACGAAAGTCGGCTACCATATGCTGTTCCCTTGGTGCATCCACATTTACTGTGGCGGATGGATGTAGGTGATTTTTACTAATAGATCGTATTAGAGCACTATCCTTGGGGGAGATCATGTCATGGAAGATCACCACAAAGGGATCAATGGATATAAGCTCCGTTTTGATGGGGGAAAGTCTGAGATAAGGAGCAGTCACATGGTTGTAAACACAATAGAGGTTCCTTAGTTCTTTGGGAACTTCACAGCGACCACTGCAACATGGGGGCAAAAACATTCTTTCAGTATCTTCCACCTCTTCTTCCTCCTCTTCTAATTCGATTCCTGATAAGGCAAGAGCTCTTATTTCCAAGTCCCGATACTCCAGGAATATTTTTGAGTCATGGGGCGAGAGCTTTTGGGCAATCTTAAAGGCCTGCAGGGCGCCCTCATAGTTTGCTATATTTAATGAATTAATGTGAATCACTTACAAGTGGATTTGAGTTTCTACTCACCCTGCTCCATCCGCGTTTTCCCCAGCCTTCTGTAGAGTTCTGGTTTAATGGGACCCCTTAGCAACTGAATCTCTGTTTGAGAACCTGGACGATCGTCAGTTTTAAGTCCTGTAAGAAACCAGTCCTCAGCCTTTGGAAGTCGCCCTTCCGCCAGCAGATGATCACCCATTGCAAGGCAATCTAAAGGTGCTAACGTAGAGCTAAGGAGTCGATTAAAAAACCACTAATATTTATAAGAAAAGCCACACCCACTTGTATTGTACTCCATCTAGCAGACCATATGCCATATCAACAGACGATATTTTATATGTGGCTTGGATTTTTCGAATCCCTTCAGCTGCATCAACAAAGTCATGATCCTGTGGCATTTTATGGTCCTCAGACTTCATAAAATCAATTTTTTCTGGAAAAGAATACTCTCAAAAAATCCCACAAATACCCTAAATACAAATACAAACCTTGAGAAACGGGTTTTTTCAGGAACAATTGCCACATTAACCAATCCGATTGCATGTGACGAATGAGGGAATAACTTTCGAATGGATTTAGTAAATCTTTTCTAGATTCTTCCAGCTTCTGGTAAATTTTCCTCATATGATAGATTCCCCTTTAGAACTTAAAGTGCCTTAAAAAATCCTTGATTGTTTAGATAGACAGTCCAACTCACCATCTAATGGTTTTGGCCTTATGGAAGAGCAAATCAGCAAATTTTTGCAGATTGACAACCAGATAATCCTCTATTTTCAGCAAATCGTCCATATTCACCACAGATCTTGAATAGCGCAGTTGGGTATTTTCCTCGTGCAATTGTCCTAAAGTCCGGGTCAGGAAAAATATTCCCATAAGCACTAGCTTGCCGATCAGCATTCTAAAAGCCACTGATTTTTAAAGATAACAAAAATAGCTCTCAGACGTGGTAATTATTGTCATAATTTAATTTAATCGGTTATTAGTTTCAGTTAAATCTAGAATTATTCCTAACACAACATTATACTAAAATTGGAAGCTACAACTTTTAGTTCTTCAACTTATTTTATAATTACATTTTTACAGATATTAGTTTCACTTAAAATTGTAAATTCAATATTTAATTTTTAAAACAAAATACAAAAAATATTAAATTATAAGTTTTTCAGCAGATGCCAAGTATTTTGCTTTCGAAATCGAATCGATGCAGGGCCTTGTGAACTCTTGACCTATATCTAATATCCACTTACTAACAACTGTGAGAAAAGTAAATAAATATCATAAAATAAAAAATATTTTTAATCTACAAACCCCATTTGGAACCCACGAGGACGGGGCATCCTGTGTGCCGGGTGCTTAGGTGATCATTACCCTTTGTATCCAAATTGTACCAGAAGAGAGTCGACCCTGCCTTTGGAAAAACCGTGATGTTCAGTTTAGGGAAATAGGTGCCACCACCTTGGGGCACGTCACTTAGCTGTAAAATATTTTATAACTAATAAATACATAAGGTACTAAAAATTATTTAAAAAAATACAAACATAAAAGACCGCCGTAGCTATACGATCATAGCCTCCGTTGAATCGGGCTTTGTCCGAAAGCAGCGTGTCCATATGTGTATTGAAGAATCCCCCCAATCCATAGTTGATGACCTGGAAGAACTCTGCAAACCTGATATCCAGACCAGTTGCATCGCCCAGGCGCTTATTCATATTCCTGGTAGCCTCGTTGTGATCGTAATCATACCAAACAGACTTTGAAGTGCGAAACTCAGCCACTTTCTTCTGTCCTTTGGGTGCACCCACATCAACTGTAGCGGAGGGAAGAAGGTGTTTTTTGCTCGAAGATCGTATTAGAGCACTATCCTTGGGGGAGATCATGTCATGGAGGATCACCACAAAAGGATCAATGGATAGAATCTCCATTTTGATGGGAGAAAGTCTCAGAAAAGGAGCAGTCACATGGTTGTATACACAATAAAGGTTCCGAAGTTTTTGGGGAACTTCACAGCGACCACTACAACAGGTGGGCAAATAATCGCTTTCGACATCCTCCTCTTCTTTATACTCTATTGGTTCCAATCCTGATAGAACTCTGCTTTCCAAGTTCAGATACTCCGTGAATATGTTTGAGTCATGGGGCGAGTGTTTCAGGACAATCTTATAGGCTTCCAAGGCGCCCTCATATTTTTCTACATTTAATAAATTAACCATATTTAATTGTAGCTCAAAGTTTATACTCACTCTGTTTCATCCGCGCTTTTCCCAGGCATCTGTGGAGTTCAGGTTCAATGGATCCCCTCAACAACTGTAACTCTGTTTGCGAAACTACTCGATTAGTGGTTTCAATTCCGGAAAGTATCCATTCCTCAGCTACTTGTAATCGCCATTCCTTCACCAGATGTTCACACATTGCGAGGCAATCTAAAGATGCAAGCGTAGAGCTAAGGAGTCGATTAAAAAACCAACCATCTCTATAAGGAAAACCATAACTACTTGTATTGCACACCATCTAGCAGACCATTTGCCATATCAGTAGATGATATTTTATATGTGGCCTGCACTTTTCGAATCCCTTCAGCTGCATCAAAAAAGTCACGGTCCTGCGGCAGTTTGGACTTCATAGTCTTCATATAAGACAATTGCTCTGAAAAACATAATATCAAGGAGTGAAAAATACCCAAATTAGAATTACACACCTTGAGCAACAGGCTTTTTCAGGAAAAATTCCCACATCAACCAATCCGATTGCATGTGACGAATGAGGGAATAACTTTCGAATGGATTAAATACAAATTTCCTAGACTCCCTTAGCTTCTGGTGAATTTTCCTCATCTGGTAGATTCCCCTTTAACGTTTACATTGCCTTGAGTAATCCTTAATTGTTTAGATAGAACGCTTAACTTACCATCTAATAGTTCTGGCTTTTCGGAAGAGCAATTCAGCAAAGTTTTCCAGATTGAGTACCAGATAATCCTCAATATTCAGCAAATCGTCCATATTGACCACAGATCTTGAAAAGCGCTGTTGGGTATCTTCTTCGTGCACCTGTCCTAAAGTCAGGGTCAGGAAAAGTATTCCCACATGCACTAACCCGCCGATCAGCATTCTGGAACCCACTGCATCGTAAATATAAGAAATAAATCTCTCACAATTTACAATAATTTTGCCCATAATTAAATTTATTCGGTTATTTGTTTCACCTTGACCTAGTATTTTTTGTAGATTAAAAAAATATTTAAATTTGTAAGCCCAGTACTCACTTCAATAAAAAAGGCATCGAATCGAAAATTTCTATACAAAAATGACAGGCGGATAATTTCGTGATTAAAACTTTGAATGGAGATTTTTATTTCGTAGGCTTTTCGATTGAAGTGAGTACTAGGCCTTAACAACTAATCATACTTCGGTAGCTTGCGTGAAAAGCTAAATAATAAGTTTTTCTATGGATGATAAATATTTAGTGTGTGATCGCTTATTAATGCAGGGCCTCCTGAACTCTTGTCCCTTGTCGTCTATCCACTTGCTGACGACTAAAAGGGATAAAGATACTTATAAGGAATATTAAGACATCAAATACTACTCTACAAACCCCATTTCGAGCCCACAATAACAGGACAGCCGGTGTGAATAATTCGGATGTGCTGCTTGCCCTTCGTGTCTAAATTATACCAGAAAAGGACCGTTCCAAACTTCGGAAAGACAGTGATGTTCAGTCCTGGGAAATAGGTGCCACCGCCCTGTGGAACGTCTTTCAGCTGCAAGTTAGAAACAAATTTAATAATAAAATATAAAGAAACGCTATAGTTCAGTACCCATTATTGATAACAAGTTACGGTGGCCCTTAGCACATTCTTCTAAATTTAAAAACTCTATATTTAAAATGTATGATATGCTTCTTTAAACTTGTATAAACATTGCATCCGGCACATGAGGCAGATAAGGAGTTTTGGTTTTATTGCGTTATAGAAATTAGAAATCATTTCAAAAAATATTTTTTTTTTTCAAACTTTTGTTTAGTTTAATTTAAATAAACCAACGCAGTGGATTTTAACTCTTTTTTTACCAGAGTTTATAGATTTTTTCCAAATTTGTTTACGACAAAATCATATGATTGATGAACCTTAAGTTTCCTAACTTCTATGGCCCCATTGCTTCGAAAATAAACTGTAGAGTTTTGTTTAAACTTTATGACCAAGTTTGGTCTTTCTTTTTTAAAAGTTTCAACCGGTTTTTTTCTTGGTGTACATCACATGTTATCACATATATGTATGTACATTGTACATATGTATGCAGCTTTTGCGATAAAAGCTGTGGCTATAAAATTTGAGCACTTTGTTGGGTTTGAGTTTAGTTCTGATTTCGCAGTCGATGATTAGCCAACATGAAATTGGGCTTCTTCGTGCTTTTTGTAGGTTCTTTGCTGCTGGAGCAGCTAAATCTCGTGGATGGTGCCATGGAATCGACATCAAATAGTCCTCATCTTGAGAAACCAACAACAAATTCAATTTCTTTGGAAGAGACTATTAAAGAACTGCAAAGTAAGCTGACTATTGCAGAACTTCAAATGAAATGCAAAGATGATATAATAAAGGAAAAAACTGATCAAATAAATTCTATAAGCAACTTGCAAAGCCAGTTGGCAATCGCCAATTGCCAAAATCAAATTAAAGACTTAATATATGAAAAAGATAAAGATATAAACAACATAACTATTAAGTTGACAAATGCAGAAGAAGAGTTAAAAATCAAAGAAGATTTTGTAAATTTAAAACTAAAAGATATTCAGGTTTTGACTGAAAACCTTAAACACAATGAGAATGAAATAACATCAAAGAACAAGCTAATTTTCGAGCTCAGCGATAAAATGAACTCCTTGACTAGAACTATTAGTGAGTTAGAAAGTGAGTTGGTTGATGCAGAAAAGGAAATTAAGAGCAAAACTCAGCTTATAAAACAAAAAGATAGAAATAGCCTAAAACAAGATGCTAAACTGGTAGCTGCAGAAACAGGCAATCAATTGAAAGAAGAGGAAATTCGAGAGAAAATAGAACAAATCGAGTATATAGGAAAAGAACTAAGAATGAAGGATAACCAACTGAAGCTTGGTTGGACAACCATTCAAAGGCGCCAGGATGGATCGGTGGACTTCAATCGCAGCTGGACGGACTATAAGGATGGTTTTGGAAAACTAACGGGAGAGTTTTTCATCGGACTGGAGAAGCTGCATCAGTTGACTACGGAAAAGCGCCACAGACTGTACATCAGGCTTTACAAGGAAAGTGGAGAGCCCGCCTTCTTTTACTATGATAACTTCCAAATTGGAAGCGAGCAGGAATTCTATGAGCTAAAAACACTGGGATCATATCGTGGGCCACCCAATGTCGAAGACTCCTTGAGAGACAGCGAAGGAAAGAAGTTTTCCACCTTTGATCGGGACAATGATAATTCTACTGGACATTGCGCTAGTCTATACTCCAGTGGCTGGTGGTTCAGTGATTGCGGAGAGAGGTATACATATAAAATTAAAAACTAATCCAAATTTCATCACTAACAGACTTTTTAATTTCAGTAATCTTAATGGAAAATACGATTCTCATATTTATTGGCGTTCGTTCAGGGACAGCAACTTTGCCGAAATGATGATTAAACCGAGATTCGGATGAGCATTTATTGTATTTTCAAATTGAAAAATTTCAATAAATATTTTGAGCTTTTAAAAATAAGTTTTCTTAATCTTTCCATTAGGTAATGAGTATTACTTATAGCTATGTTCAATATACTTACATAGAAAAGACTCGTAGCCATTCGATCGATATATCCGTTCAGAAATCTTTCCTCATCCAAAAGCAATGCATCGTAATGGGTCTCAAAGGAGCCCCCTATACCATAGTTATTGACCTGAAAGGCTTCCGAATGTTTCATATCCAAACCCGTGGCATCGCTCAAGCGCTCAGTTAGCTTTAAAGTCGCCTCATTGGCATTACTATCAAACCAAGCTGACTTGGAAGTTCGGAAATTGTCAACAATAAATTCTTTTCTCACGGCATTAACTGTTTGGGAGGGCACGATAAGTTTTTCACTTGAAGATCGTATTAGAGCACTTTCTTTTAGGGATACCATCTCATGGAGGATCACCACAAAGGGATTAATAGATAGAATCTCCGTTTTAATGGGTGATATTCGCAGGAATGGGGCAGTTACATGGTTATACACACAATAAAGTCTTTTCAGTTTTCTGGGCACTTCACAGCGACCACTGCAACACGGTGGCAGTCTCATTTCTTCGATATCTTCTGAAACATCTTCTGGCTCCTCTCGAATCGGTTCGGTTAGAGATTTTTTTGCCAACCTCTGATATTCCTGGAACATTTTTTCATCATGGGGCGAATATTTCAGGGCAGCCTGATATGCTTCCAAAGCTTCTACTTCATTTCCTACAATAAACAGATTTTTATTTTAAATTATAATGTTGAGAGGGTCTACCTTTTTCTCACCCTGCTCCAATTGAACTTCTCCCAGGGTTCTGTAGAGTTCAGCCTTTGTTGGTCCTGTCAGCATCTGCATATCTGTTTTGAAGCCTATCCGATCCTGAGCTCTAATACCTGCCAAAATCCATTGCTCTGCAGCAGACCAACGAAATTGGCCCAGCAAATGTTGAGCCATTGCTAGGCAATCAATGGATGCCAAAGAAGAACTAAAATTTAAAACGGATTAACAAACATTTACTTTTGAAAGGTCTTTTAAACCTACTTGTATTGCACTCCATTCAGCAAACCATTGGCTATATCTTTTGATAACATCCCGTAGGTCCTTTGCATTCTTCTAATTGCATCAGCAGCATCCCCAAAGTCATGTTTCTGTGGCAATATTTCCTTAGTTGTGTTTATATAAGCCAATTGTTCTGGGAAAAAATACTCTTAATAATACTGAAGATCATCTTTAATGGAATTCCGAACCCAAACCAACAGGCTTTTCCAGATATTTCTGCCACATCAACCAATCAGATTGCAGGTGACGAATGAGGGAATAAGTGATATAAGCGCTGTTCCAAAAAGTCTTTGTTCTTCCTAGCATTTCCTTCATCTGATGGATCCCCCTTTAATGCTTACATAAGAGCTGGTATTGATAACTTTGCTCTTGTACTCACCATCTAATAGTTTTAGCTTTCTGAATAAGCACATCCGTATAGGTTTCCAAATTGCGAACCAGATCGCCTTCCATTTTCAGTAAGTCATCCATATTTACCACAGATCTTGAATACCGCTTTTGGGAGCCCTCACTTTGAATTAAGAGAAGAAAACAAATAAGCAGCAGTTTCCAAATCCACATTCTGCATCTCCCAACATTTAACTTTAACAAATAAAAATAAAATCTTGTAGAGTGATATTTTAATTACATTTATTTGGTTATTAGTTACACCTTTATGTAGAATTTTCCATGCTTTAGTTACTAACCACTTTACCTATAACGTAACCCAATATTTACCATTAAAAGCCTTAATAATCAATAGAAAGTTTCAGCAAATGAAATACAGCTTTAGTATTTACTATAGTATTCCAATATCTTGAGTTTCCTATTCCAATAAAATCTCAATATCTCCTTAATTATTGTATTTTTTTTAGCTTCTGCGTGTTCTGCCAATTCCATAAGTATAGACCCACATTAGTTATTATCTAAGAAAAACCAGTTGCTGGCTCAACGAACTCGGCACTTTCTTTAGGTGCGTGTGAGAACAGGTTTCCGATCTGTCACTTGAAACCCCTGACTTCTTATAGCTTATGTAATATTCTAAGGGGTCAAATGCCGGAATCAGTTGGAATCGAAGAGCTCTCGAGAGCGGATCTCAGTCAGAATGATATTCCCGGTGTTTTCAGTATTTCTCTTGGTGCTTCACCAACTATTTTCTGGAGTTTCTGGAAGGGAGTTTTATTCCTCCATAAACGAGATGACCAAAGTGTTTGGCTACGAACAGAAAATGCTCCAGCATGTGCAGAAATTCCTAGCTGATAATCAGGGAAAATTGGATTTCCTTAAAGCGTAAGAAGATTTTTGAATATTATTCTAATATTTGGTATTAATGTCTTGCATTTATTTATTTATTAGACGACTTAGGGAGTTTGAGAGTGAGCGAAATGAGGCCCGTGAATGGGGACCAGCTTATTTCGACAGTCCTCTAAATCAATATTTGCTGAATAAAAGACTGACTGTAGATTGGCAAAGAGTTGAGAACTTAATGGAGACTTCAACAGGCGAAAGTGAGGTAAAAAAGTATAATTTAAAAATCCTTATAAATGATTTTCTACCCCTAGAACCCCTGAATCGCCTGAGGAAGCTAAGAAATCGGGAGACAATGCCTGACAAAAAGGAACTCGAGGGAGCTATAGATGGTCTACTTCGATTGCAATATGTTTACAGATTAAAGGCCAAGGACTTGGCCAGGGGAATTTTGGATGGCGTGGATTATGGGTAATTAAATATTTAGAATTTTTAAATCTTTTTTTAAATACCTATTTTGTATAATACTTAGCACCCAATTGAACTCGGAGCACTGTGTGGATATTGCCAGATTGGCTCTCCGGGATCAGCATCCCAGATTGGCTCATTCCTGGTTAATGGAAGCCAAAGATCGTTTGACAGGAGGCGAAAAGGAAAAGAATCTAAAGCCACAGATCCTGGCTCTTTTGGTTCAAGCCAAGAAAGAATTGGAGGACTATCGGGGTCTCAACGAAACCTACCAGGAGTTAGTCCAAATTCAACCAGCCAGTGAGGAGCATTCCAAGAATTATGAGAGTTTTTTGGAGGCTCTAGGGGAAAAAGCTTTATTGAATAAATCCCAGCCCATTCTAGAACATCCAGTAAGTGGCTTTCTTTCACATGTTTAAAATGTATTATTATATATTTAATTTTCCAGCCCATTCCCAACGAGGATGAGCTGGTGGGTGAGTTCCAGGCCTACAGTCTCACCTGCAGTGGCCATTGGCAACTTACCCCTAGCCAAAAACGTCATCTTCGCTGTGGATATGTAACCGAAACGCATCCTTTCCTGTGGATAGCCCCCTTGAAGGCGGAGGAACTTTTCCAGGATCCCCTACTCGTGCTCTATCACGATGTCATTTACCAGAGCGAAATCGATGTTATAAGGAAGCTAACTGAAAACAGGCTGATTAGGGCCACCATAACGAGCAACAATGAGTCTGTGGTTTCGAATGTGAGAACCAGTCAGTTCACCTTTATCCCGGCCACAGCCCATAAGGTCTTAGCCACCATCGATCAGAGGGTATCCGACATGACCAATATGAACATGAAGTACGCTGAGGATCATCAGTTTGCCAACTACGGAATCGGAGGGCACTACGGCCAGCACACGGACTGGTTTAACCAGGCTTCTGTAAGTTAGGGAAGCCTTTTAATATATATAATAATATAATATTCTCCTTACTCAACAGTTTGATGCCGGTTTGATTTCCTCTCCCGAGTTGGGCAATCGCATTGCCACAGTTCTCTTTTATGTGAGTAAACCAAAAAATATATGATTTAAAGGTACATCAAAGTTTGGACTGGTTGTTAACGCTTAAAATAAAATGAGAATTAAAATGCATTTTTATTTTTCGTTATTACTGAAACATTTTTAACTATTCATAGCTTTCTGATGTAGAACAGGGAGGTGGCACTGCGTTTCCCCAACTAAGGACACTCTTGAAGCCCCAGAAATATGCAGGTGGGTATATTCTTAAATACTTTATTTTATATCCCATTTTTAATTAATTACATAATAAACAAATTTTTGTGCTACAGCTGCCTTTTGGCACAATCTTCATGCCTCTGGAGTGGGCGATGTTCGTACTCAACATGGCGCCTGTCCCATTATCACTGGTTCCAAATGGGGTTTGTTTTGAAAAAATATAATATTAAATCAACGGATCCCATAATTCATGTGATTTTATTTTACAGTTCAAAACCGCTGGATCCGGGAAAATGATCAATCTGATCGACGACCTTGTGAACTTTGGGACGATTCATTGGCTACATTTGCTCAAATTTTGGAACTAAGTAAACGAAATGAGGAGCAGGCAGCTTCTATTTACCAAACTAATATTAGTTAGGTATAATTAAACAAAAATTAAGTCAAGCTTTAATGAAACGGAATTTAAGTTTAATATATTAAATATACTACAACTGAATGAAAATATGCCTTTATTAATACGAAAATATATAACTACTATAAAAAAATGTATATGAGTTTAATAAGATTTCGTTGTAATTTAGTAAATTTACTTTCCTAAAAAATGTTTTTTGGAGTATACAATTTTAATAATATATATTCCAAATTAAGAAAATTCAATTGTATACTTACTTTCGTATAGAGTACTTCCCGAAATATCTCCCCCCAGTAAATACACACGATTGAATACCTGAGGTCCGCCAGGAGTGGGAACCCCTTTCAAAAAAGTTGATTTATTTGTGATCTGTTCGCTCGCTGCTTGTAACATGTATGGCCAGCTAAGTTTGAACCAACACTAATTAATTGCGTACCTGCTAGTACTAGCTGGTGCCCCGCCCCCGCAGGCGCCCCTTCTAAGGGGTCACCGGGGGTCACGGGGTCATTTGGCTTTGGCCTGCAGCTGTTCCTATATCCTTTCCTTTCCGATCTGATCTTCTGCTCTATCCGCAATATGTGTGTATTTGAATAAATTCAATAGCGTATGTCTTAAAACAAACATTCATATGTAGTTGTATATATGTAATGCATTTAAATCCAGCAACAACATTTATGTAGTAATTATTTTCTCTGCTCTGCGCATAATAGTTGTAATATAATAATGACAATAATTCTCAGCTACATGTATAAGTTGGAAAAGTTCACCGCTCTATCCATTAAAACATTTATATAAATTTCTCTTCTGACTTCCTTTTTTTTTGATTTTTCTTTGATGTTTTGTGTTTTTTTTTGTAGATTTTCTAGGGAAAATAGTTCAGTTTGGAGATTTTTTCGCAATGTTGCATTTAAAAAGGACACCGAGTGAGAGTTTTTTTTGACTATGCAAATGTGTCGTGTGTATAAAGGTTTAAATTCGCTTTATTATGTCTTTCAATATGCATTTCTTTATTTTTGCTTTGTGGTGGGTGATTTGCTAGACTGTCACTAGTTTTTAGTTATAGTTTAGTTTCAGTTACAGTTTTAGCTTTAGCTTTAGCTTAGTTTTGTTTGCTGCCAAGGGATTGTCTTGGGGGTACATTCATGGTACAGTTTGAAACATCGATATACAAATACACTGATTACATAAATATATATTTATCAATAGTTTATGGTGTGTATATATTATGTTATGCAGTTGACTGCGTTAAAATTTGACTAAGTAACTTCAACTTAAAATTCTTGCCGCTCCGCCTGGGAATTCTTCTTCGTCGGGGGAGTTTATTGAAATTACAGTTTCTTTTCTCTTAAATATACGTTAGTTAATTACCATTTTTCTAGTTATATCTTTTTTTGTACACCTATAAAACATCTATAGACGAGTATCTGTGCTCTGTAGTTCGCAACGCTTAAGTTACACATTGATAATAAACTTTTGTTTCCCTTTCAGAATATTTTGATATAATTGCATAACTTCTATCTTCTTCGGTTCGACTTGGTATATATGTATGCTTGTGTAAATGTTTTCTTTCTTTTTTTAAATTGAAACTTTTTTGATGTCTGGCCAAGGATTCACTTAGATCTCGTAGTTGCGAAACTTGTTGGCCACATCGGTGTTCTCGCCGCCCCATTCGCCCTTGCGACTCCCATAATACAAGGCCGCCCCGCCCTCCGAGGCCCGCCGATGGGCGGGATTGGGCGAGGCTGCGGTCAGGCCACCGCTGCTGCATCCTGCTCCGGATCCAGATCCCTGCCCCTGGGCAGCTGCTCCTCCGGCCTCCGGCAGCATGCGATCCTTGGTCTTGGGAGTCACCCAGTGCATGGACTTTGATTGGCGGTCAGAGAGGGCACAAAGGTATTTAATTAGATAAAATTCCCGCGGTTTTTCAGTCGAGAACCAAGGCAACTTGATTTACTTGCTGCAGTTGCATTGGTCCTCTTTCGAAGCGCATGCAAAAACACACACACGGGTACACATAGAGTTGGATGAAGAGGCACATTCAAGAGAGGTTTGTACATTCGGTGGAGTTCGTCGGGCACTCAGGAGCGGGCTTATAGAGAGACACACAGAGAAATAAGAAGAACAAGAGGTTCCATGGGGTATTCTAAATTTCAAAACTACGAGTGGAATTAACTGGAAGAAAGTTCTGGAGTTCAAAATAACAAATTTAGGAAATAATATTTAAAAAAAAAAAATTTAGCATCTTAAAGTATGCAACAATTAAAATAAAAGAAAATTTCAATTCGGAAACGAAATTTCCGATTCCGGTAATTGTAGTCAGAAACTTTAAAATTATAAACTTTACTTTTATAAATTTAGCAAGTAATTTCAGAACTGTTATCTTCACTATAACATTTATATTTTTAAATTCTTCACTTCAGTATTTAAGAAATTCATCTGGATTCTGGGGAATAATTTTATAATTAATATCTTTTCATATAAAATAATTTAATCTAAACTATTAAAACCTACTCTGCCCTAAATTTGTAAAAGAAAATAACAAGACCGACTCCATGAAAAGTTCTAATTAAAGAACAAAACTGAAGCACAAAGAGAACAACCTTTTCATAATGAACTACCTTGAAAGGAGTTTCTATTGTTTGCAGTTTCCCCTTGAATTTTATTGATTTCAAGGGACTTTTTCCGACTTTGGCAGCCTTTTCACCGTGAAGTTTGTTTTCAGCTAGGTGTCCGAGCTGAAAATTAGAAATGCAAATGCGGATTTGGGGCCCATAATCCCCACCCCTCCCCTAGAAGACCGGACAATGTCAGCCGCTGATGGATGGGCGACAATTTCCGCTTCGCCCGGCAGCGGAAATTACCATAGAGCTCTCGAAGGACGGGGAAAACTGGGTGGTTTTCGGGTGGGGAATGAATAATCGCGTTAATTGTGCTACGGCAAAAATGAACTCCGGCTTGGCTTACAAATTTCATTAGGAGCGTGGCAAACAAACCAATGAATGAAACATAAAAGTGGGGCAAAAAAGGTTCGAAAAGAAGAGAAATGGAGTTGAGGTTCCTTTGTGCCACACAGAGAGCGAGTGAGAGGGCTAGACAGAGTGAAGGAGACGAGGTCAAGGACGAAGGCTACTTCTCTGGAGTTCGCTGAGTTCCGTGGCCCATAACGCATACCTCTTTATCCACTTTCTCGGCAATCGTGTATCTTCTCACCTGACCGACATGCTCCTTCATGCCCAGCCACTGTTTGTAGCTCATCGAGATGCCGCTGTTGCGCCACTTGTCATAAACGGCCCTCTTTTCGGGGTCGCACAGGGTTTCTTTGGCCTCCTGGAAAAAAATATTAAAAAAAAATTTAATATTTTATAGGATTTATGTAGATAAAAGGATCATTCCAATGTAATTTTATACCTTCATATAAGTTAAAGAAATTTGATGATTAATGCTCTATAGCTCAGATCCCCATTTACCTTCACCTTTATCTTTGAATTTTCTTAGATTTATATCTTCATATTTTAGACCCATAAATTCATAATTCATAAATTTAGACCAATTTAATGATAAATGATCTCGAACTTAAATACATCTTTCTCTTTGTCCATTCTGTTTTAATTTTCGATAACTTAGGGCTAGTCAAAATATTTTGTATTTTATATTTCATTTATATATTTTTTTATCAGAAATAAAACGATATATTGCCTTACAGACTATAATCAAAGCAACAAAAGAAAATATTTCAAGAAAATGCAAGGGTCTCAATTTCTTGTAAATAGCCTTTCTACTGACCCTGTCCTTTGGCATTCCATTGAAATTGTTTTCTTCCAAATTCCCGTTTTCAGTCATGAATAATCTGTGGCACAGATTGAGTGAAATTTCTCAGTTTACAGCACAAAATGTGTGTGTAACAAGAAGCGGGCTTTAATCAATTTTTCTCCGAAATGAAACTGAAACATGAAAGAGGCACACACACAACCCATCCGTTCTTAAAAGCTGATCAGCCCGCCATGAAAGTCAGGACTCGGATTTGCTCAAGTGCAAAATAAACAGCAGCACAGGTTTCGGATGCCGACCCATCCCAAGTTCTGTTTTCTGTGCCTGCATGTTAATCAATTTCATATGCCTTCCTATAGCACACTTATTGGCATGCACACACACAGACACTAGGGGAATACCCGCACTCATACACACTCATCTGCGGAGAGGCTCCCACATATTTGCACGCTCAAGTGATTTTGATAGCCTCGGCTGGGGCTTGATATATATCTTGACTACTTTTACGGCCAGACCCAACAGACACACATAACCACAGCGGTAGGCACCGACACGCTTCGAGGGTGTTCAATACACACAGTGGGATACACTGTACAAAAAAGTACTAATTAAATGTTATCTAAATTTAATATTACTGAAAGGTGTATTAAAGGTGCCTGAAAGTATGCATTAATAATTAATACTTTTATTTTTCGATTGAGATTCTTATGATTTTATATCTTGTGATTTAAAATCAATTTAAACGATGTCTAAAAGTATGCTTTGAAACATCGTCTTTTGCATTTATCGATCGAAATTTTAGACATTTCAAATATTGTAGCGTACTTTTAGATATATTTTCAATAATTTTCCAGCTCTGCATGTTTGTTTTATTTTTCCCAGTGCAGATACCCAGATAGACACCCACTTACACACATGCTCAATTGAGGCTCTGAGATTTCATCGCTGGCCTGCTGTTTTATTGTTCCGGCTGCTTTTCGGTGCCCTGTTTACATGATAATCAATTATTTCACTACCCACTGATTATGTGGGTCAGCAAACAAGGCTCCAGCCAGGATAACCCCGAGTTTGTTTGTCTTCAATTAGCAGCAATCGTTGAGCGGTTTTTTATGGAAATAAAATTCCATTTCAGACCCTTTGGAGGGCGGCAATTAACAGTTTCGGAAGCGGCTCATCTGCACCTGACAAGAATCAAAACGCAATTTCATATTCCAAACCACTCTTGTTTATCCTTTCGTTATTATAGGATCCCTGCCCAGTATTTCTTGACGGGATTTAGAGGGACAGCTTGACAACTGCAAATTGTGTTGTAAGTTCTTAGTCGAGTTGCCAGGATGATAAAGTCCCGACTCATTTGCATACTCCTCGGGGAAATGCAGAGCT